ATTTAGATACATAATTTGTACCTATTGTATAATCTACAATATCTACATACTAAAGTAGATTATATAATAGGTATAGGTAATAGATTATGCTATCTCAGACAGACAGAAAATGTAATGAAATGATGCGTTATATTTTCCTTAACGAACAAAAACATTATGTACCTACATAGATATTAGATAAATAATAAAACATGACGTCACAGCTATACTCATTAGTATTGATTTATTCAATATACACATGATATTAACACACTGTGCAATTTTACAACTGTGTTATAACATTGAGCGGTGCCCCAGCAAAGTTTCAAGCAAAACGGGCCACGGCAGTCCTTGTCTCGAAGCGTTTCGCGGCTATTTCATCCCCCCTTGTACCATCAACACGAACAAAGCTAGGGAATCAGGTTTTCGAAGACCTAGAGTAAATGTTAAAATCAGCTCAGCCATTACAAATATGTAAGGACAAATAGTTTACTAGTTATACTAGGTAATCTACGAGTAGCAAGTACTATTTTGTTATACGATAAATTAAAGTAAGTGGAATTATGTTTAGCTTGTCAATCCTCAAAAAAGAATAGTAACTAGAGGGCGAAATCGCACGAGAGTAGATATAAAAAATTAATAATATATAATGTTACAAAGCTTGTACATTATTTATACATTGTCTGAACTTTAAAAGACACTGACTTCTGAGTTTGTTTCAGCATTTCTTCTCAGAATAGTCAAAAAGTGAAATGCCGGCTTCATCTAGATTTTTATATATATAATAGCAGACCCAGCCACGCGTTTTTGCTAAGGTAAATAATATTGTGACTATAAATTGAGATGTAAGCTATCCTAACTTTCAAGTTGGATAAAAACACGGAATGCAAATGTAATTAAAAATCGGTTTAGTAGTTTAGGAGTCCATCGCTGAAAAACACGTGACAAGAAATTTTTATATACAAAGATAATGGCGACGTGTTTCATGGACCACTTGCAAAAAACTAATTCATTGTTACAACGAATACCTTAACGATTTTTGACAACAAATGCAAATTCAATCTGCGTGCATATCAAGCAATATCACTAAAGGGCATTCAAAGGACAAGGTTTTCTGTATCTTATCTAATCGTATGAAGTTGTAAGTAATCGTAACTATTGCGTATTTTAAAGATTATAATATAAACCGATTTTAATATTAAATAAGGATATAATAATAAAAAATCCATTTACACCCGGTTTCCGAAAGGCCGATCAATGTTAAAATCAATTAAATCTCTTGTCAAGTCATCTGATTGGTTGACTGAATTATCAACAACCAATCAGATGACTTGACAAGAGATTTGACACCTAGTTAGTTGATTTTAACATTGATCGGGCTTTCGGAAACCGGGCATTAGTCTACCTGACTGTGAATAAAAACGTCTGTTGTTATATATTTGATCTATCAGAAAACAATATTAAGATAAAGTGACGTATCGGTTTTTTTGTATATCTTAATAGTATATTGAAGAGACGTCGCACAACTTTTCAAATATATGAAAGTCAAAAAAAGGATCTAAAAAAATATATTATCTCTATTTAATCTAAGACAAAATGTATATATAGAAATGACTCGTAAAATATGTTGGTAAGCGTCTAACTCAACAACGCCTCGACCGATTTAGCCAATTCATTTTTGTTGCGTGTGTGTGTATAAGGAAAAGGATCTTATGAAAGAAAATTTCGAAAAAGTAAAAGGGTAAATTGGGAAATTTTGACCAATTCGTCATTATAGCGAAGAAGAGACAGCTAGTAGGTAATCGATAAAATAGCTTTTTTTCTATTCCATCCTTACGAGTTATAAGATTCCAACGTATTCGCAAAGCATCGCATGGTCAATGACGCATATTATAAATAACTATATTTTATATCAAATAAAAATTCAACGCATAAAAGTTCCTTATTTCAATATTACGATAACATCGACCTTCAAGCGGAGATCAAATTTTCAATTTAACCTATATTCATATAACTGTGTCAACCAACAGCAGACATAAACAAATCGAAAATATACTCTATGCTAATAGATATATGGTGTGTACTCACAACAGTGTCTGCTATACTGGAGGGGTCTTTATGAAGGATATCAACAAGCAGGAACTCATTTAGGGAGACGACACTGGCTGTCGACACTGATAAACTAATTAGAGTGTCTCTAAGGCCACCTGAAAGGGAAAGGAATAAAAATATTTTATAATTAGAATTTGCAAAATTTATTTTAAATACCTTAAAAATTACACGACACAGGTCCACACAAACTTTCAAGTTAAAACCATTGAACCGATTTTAATATAACTTGGTACTGGTGCTTGATACATCAAGGTCTAAAGACCCAAACAATTTCTCTCACAAAATTGATACTTTTTCGAAAATATACTTTTTTTTAAATACCGTCTTTTAAAAAAAACGTAACATATATAGAGTATTAGTATCAAGATTAATTATAATAATAAGTTAGTTCTTATGATATTATTAAATTTTCTTTTAATATGTATTTTTAAATGTCAAAATCAATACTTTTCTATGAATTATATAACATTAATTAATCTGTGACGACGATAGATTATTTGCGTCATCATGCATAATTTATCCTCTGAATGTTTAAAATATTTTTTTTAACAACCAAGGAAGTCCCTGCCATTATTTAATATAGGTATGTATTTCTGATAAGGGTTTGCTTTGTTTTGGATTTAAAAATTAGTCCTGATCAACAAATCTTCATTACTTTATGATTAATATAATTAAAACAAGTATTCTAATGTCTATGGATAGTCATACAGATAATGCAACAATGATGTCATGCAATATACAGACTTTGCTCAATGATAACAAGTTAAATAATAAACTAGGTTACTAATATAATTAAAATAGTAGCTAAGTTTTTATTATATGTATTTTGTTGTGTATTGATAAAAATTATAGTAAACATTTTATAGATAATTTGGTATATTCCAACTAGGAATTCAATACTTTTTTGAAATGTCAAAATCACCTTTCTATGAATTATGTAAGAACTCACAACATACAACATCATATTGTTTTGATGTCAAATATCTAAAAAAGTAAGAAAAATCTAACATTAAAGTAAATAGTCTAATCTAAGAATGAAAGTATGATAATTTAATAATTTATTGTACTGAACAGTCAAAATAATAATTTTTTGACCTAGGAAACCACCACAATTATAATACAACAATAACAAAAGACATTGATTCTTATATTTAATAGGAATCAATGTCTTATGTTGTGATTCAAAATATAATACAATGCTGGCAAAGCAAAGTGGTACACTTAAATATTGATTTTATACTAACCCTGTGAACTCTGTACCATCTCAAATATAACAAATGTTCTAACCTTTCAAACCTTGTCTGGACTCTAGACAAAAGTTATCCAAAACAAAGCAACCATTCTCAATTTAGCAAGACAAATGTACAGCAATTCCTTTTTATTTATAAGTGATTTTTATTATGACTCATTAGTCATCCAAAAATACAATCTAATCCATTGGTTGGATTATATTTTACAGAACAAAATAATAGAGTATTTATACGGGTAAAAAATTTATGAAAATGTTTGATTACAAACTTACCAACACTCTGTATACAAGCCATAGGCACTCCAAGTATCTTTAATTCCAGCAGCGATTTAAATGGGATTAAATCAAAATGAAGATCATTTGGCACAATATTACTTGTACCCAATTTCTCGTAACTGCCCTCTATATTTAAAGACCTTAGTTGTGAGCAGAAATCCAAAATGTGACTGAAATCATACATTTGATCTTGTTTCTCTGTCATAGGGCAGGCCATTTTTAACCGCTGACTTATTGCATGCAACTGAAAAAAGTTTAGATTAAAGAAGCCATAGATTGAAAACTGTGTCAGAGATTAAATTATAGAAATAGAATTTAAATATGGAATAGACCATAGTGGCCAGTGTTGAGATTGTTTGTTTTCATTTGTTGTGTTAAGTACCTATTCAACCTTATTATTGTTAATGTTTAATTTAATTATTAACTCAAGTTAGGTACTAGTTTATTTATTCAAATAGATGCATATTTGTTTAAAAAATAATTATATTATGAGCAAGGTCAAGGCTGACATGTCTATAAACATTGTAATTTAGAATTTGTGTATTAATAATATACTTGATACCTGTAAAGGTGTAAAATTATGTGATTTCTCATTCTCCAACATATTATCACCTTCTAAAAACAATGTCTTTGCTAAATCTTGTAGCAAAAAGAATATATCATACAAATGGAAGTCTAGGAAGTGAGCGAACTCGGACGGCATCGTCAGTTTTAAATAATTAAATACATTCTTTAGGTATTCGCTTAGAGCTTCACGTCTTTGCTCCACAAACTTTGGTGTTTTATTTCGAATAACTTTCTTTGGAGGGAGCAATTCTTTAGCGACCCCATGGTCCGAGACTAGTTTATCATGTAGTTCTACAAAGTCATTATAGCGATGCAACACGGTCCAACGCACTGAACCCACTTTAACAGTTATTTTGTAATAAGTAACATTGTCTTTTGTAGAAGTTTCTTCCACGGTCACTGTGCTATCTTCTCGGTGATTCACGAACGAAGACATTTTATAAATAACGCACGTAATCACTTACACTGACAGCTCGGTCGTTAATCAGTGTATTTAAATTTTAATTAAATTTCTTTACACATATCGCTTTTACTACAGTGTGTGTGGAAAATCGCGTTTTGCTTCACCAATCACGAAATGATGAAATTATGAATGAATGACAATGACATATTTCTGACATTAGAAAAGAAACGTTCCAAATCCAAAGCAATTTCACAATGTTATTATTTGCTACCGAAAAATGTTTAACACTTAATACAACATTTAATTTTTTTATGTTCATGATTATCACAGACTCAAAGTATTCATAATTTTCAATTTTAAGTGAATTAAATTAAGGCGTTTCTTTTACCTAAATGAGTCGTGCAACTCCACTTACGTCACATGTTCCTAACGTCAAATGCTTTTAATTTTGACATTGACGGTTAACATACTTCATTCCTGTATTCGGATTACAGTGTTATGGTTTTTAATAAATTTTACAGATCCAGTTAGAATGGTTTACAATTTAGGATCTCTAATTTGAATTTTATTTGAAGCTTTTGTTATGTGTGAATATATGAAGAAATAATTACGTCAAAATGTTGAGTCGTTTTTCGGACGTGCTACAAACTGCGGCGGACGTTGTAAGTGCAAAACAATTAATATTATCGGTGAATGTGCGTGTAGTGAACAAATTAATGAGGTTTCATCGTTTCAGCTGGCACCTCCAGCCACACGGTTGGAGGATTTTGAATATCATTGGAAGATGATACTGAATTTTTACCAAAATTATGACGAGAACAACAAACTGCATGTTGAGGAGACCAGGATACCGCATCACCTGCACCAAATGTTACAGGTATAACTTTAAATATATTCAATTAATTATATACACCTAACTGAATTTATTTGTGATTTTGTTGTATGAAACATTTGCAGTGCATAATTACAATTCTATTATCCATCCAAAGACAAAATGGGTTTGTGTACAACCTTTTTGGTTTTACATGACTGATAAAGATCTATTTGGTTCATTTGTAACTCACAACATTTAAAATACATGCACACACACATTGCACTTAGAACAATTTGCAGATGGCCATTTATTTATTTAATATTAATGCAACATACTACTTTATATACTTTCGTGGAATTGATGAGAATGCCTAATGGTATTGTGCCCATAGGCAGGCCATAGCATAGCCATTAAGCATTCACTCAGGTCAGACCTTATGTAGAAAAAGTATGGTAGGTGGAATAAAGAAGGGAACTCAGAATAAATTACTTTGATTACAAAATAATACTTAAATATATATGTACCTATCTATAAATCTTTAAAATATATAAAAATTTTGTGTCATGTTTGTCTGTGATAAACTCCTAAATTACTAAACCGATTTTAAATTTGATTTGCATTCTGTGTGCATTTGGATCCAACTTGAAAGATAGGATAGCTTACATCTAAATTTATAGGCACAATTTTATTTACCTTAGCCACAGCAACACGTGGCTGGGTCTGTTAGCATAGGTAATATAGAGTATTATAGCATTATCTTAGTTTATTAACTATATTCTTTTTGTTTTTGTAAGTATTGCAAACTTACCTATTAGCAGCCACTATCTTTTATTTAAAAATAGAATAGATATAATTAACATTCAAATGTCAACACTCTCTCTTAAAAATGAATAATTTAATAATTCAGTATATTGTTAATCACAACTCGGTCACAATGTAAACTCAACCTTTTGTCTTTAATATTAAATAACAAATTCTCTTACATAATTAATGACAGGTTTGCATTTTTTGATAAGAAAATGGTATCAGTGTTATTTACATATTCATTCTAAAATTAAAACAATGTAATTGATGAAAGTCTCAGAGGCTGCTCCATTACCTTCATATAAGTTACAAAACAACCTATATAGCACATAGTTTATAAAAATACTTTTAAAATTTTAATTTATAAGGAACAAAGCAGATATAAACAACATAAAAGTCAGAGAATATGATGGTGTGTATGGAAAGAAAAATGTTTTAATTTTATGATGAATTAGGATTTGGTTGGATGTTTTGTTTTTCTTATCCATCCCTGAATTACATAATCTTATTGGTAAGGTCATGTTAAGTAAAGTATATAAACTTTTTGATTTGAAATTGATAAAACTTACCTTTTCGATCTACTTCCCATGTAACTGGTAATTACTTATCTACTGATAAGAGATAATAGGTTGTTACAATGAAAACCAATTTGTCAGTTTAAGAGCAATGTTGGTGTACAAAGACATATGTGTATGTTCGTTGAAACATCATTCATTTGTAGAAATGAGTTAGTCATGTCTCTATACCTCTTTGTTATATTTGTATTAGACAACAACCTATAAGTATGGGAGAGCTATGCTTCGGCGCGAATGGGCCGGCACGACCAAAGGGATATAACGATTACTAGAGGCCAAATATTCCCCACCTCTTCCAACCTCAAACCTTAAACCCCTTACCTTTAAATCCCCAATAACTAACAAGAGGCCGGCTTCTTTGATATTACCAGTGACTATCAGCGGCGATGATTGTTTACCATCAGTTTATCAGTAGGCTCGTTTGCAACAATTAACATAAAAAAAATAAAAAATAGATTGAATAAAGTACAATATTCAGATGAACAATCAGAGAATTGTTTACTTGTCCTTGCATACAGTAAGCCACAACTCTGAAGTTGTATAGAATTTTAATTTGTTCTATGTATTGTAGCAATGACATTAACATGTTTGTATGTATGTAGGTACATATATGTAGTGCTTGTATACATATAGCTACAGGATATTCTGACTGATTAAATTAATTGTTGCTGAACTTTATTTAAGTGTGGGAGAGCCATGCTTCGGCACGAATGGGTCGGCTCAACCGGAGTGATATCACGGCATCACAGAAGACCGGCATGAAACAACCACAGCGTTGTGTTTCGCCGTGTGATTGAGGTTACCGGAGGCCCAATCCTTCCCCGCCCCCAATCCCTACTCAATCGCTAAACCCTAAAAGGTCGGCAACGCACTCGTAACTCCTCCTTACCATGCTTGCCATGATTGCTTACCATCAGGTAATCCGTCAGCTCGTTTGCCGACCAATTACATAAAAAAAATATATGTAAAAGTAGGTACTTATAGTATTTATAGTATTTTTTAATCTTTCAACAGTGGTAATTCGAGAAAAATAAGTGCTTACATTTATAATTTAATCTTTCAATGGTTGTAATTCGAGACTATAGGTGCGCGGACGCAAACGTTTGCTTGGGATTTAATGAATTAATTTATTTTTATTGGCCTCTCCTGCTTTGCACGGTTGTCGAACTACCTCGGTGTAAATAATTCGTTTTATTACCACAATGTCCAAGTATTGTTAGTTCTTGATTTTCCCCTTTAATTTCCTAACATTTTCGTGCATGACAATATTCTCTCTATAATGTTTATAATTAAAAAAAAAAAATTGCGAAAACAGCAAACAGAGTAGTTCTTCTCGAGATTTGTGCTTAGCAAAACCTTTAAGCGATATTTTTTATATACATAAGTTTTAAATTACGTTAATCATACTGTAACTCACTACCTTCTACCAGCGGCTTCGTCTGTGTTACGTGTGCGTGCCGTGTAAAAGTAGTCTATGTCTCATTTCAAACTATAATCTATCGCTGTGCCAGTTTTGACTATAATCCATTCAGTAGTTTTTACGTGAAAGAGTAACATCCCTCCATATTTACCAAAATCCGCGTTTATAATAATTATTCACTGGCAAACAATACAATGTGCACACTACACAATTATGTCATGTATACCTCTCCTTTGTAGACTAAATTGTCCTTATTGTAAGTCTATGTAAACCAATGAGTCAGTTTTTGTATTTTAAATTGAAGGTAGGTGAGAAAAAGATTTAGAGTACAAAACCTGACTCTATGGTTTAAACCTAGACTAAAGATTAATCTTGTTTTGTAATAAGGGGGATTATGTTTAAAAACTTATCTTTATGCATCTTCATAATTATCCATATACTAGATTAATTATTTTATTTATGCTCTGTCTATCTATACATTACTGTTAATTCACAATCTTACAACTACATATCTGTATTTAAACTTGTAGGTAGTTGTTTTTTGTTAATATGATAATACCATTTATAATATTTATATATTATAGATCATTTCGTACCGTAACATATTCCCCGTAAGTATCTGACTTTCTACGTGACCATAAGGTTGGCTGGTATAGAATGCTATATGGCATTAAGTCCGCCTTTTGCACCAACTTGATTTAATTGTGTACAATAAAGCATAAATAAATAAAAATATATACCTACTACCTACTAGCTACACTCGCGCGAGTTCATCCGCTGCTCGGTTCCATATAATCGTAGCGTGATGTTTTATAGTCTATAGCACTCAGGAATATTGCAGCTATATATCAGTTAAAGAATTTTGAAAATCCGACCAGCGGTTCTATTGATTACCCCCTTCATACAAACTTAAAAAATTTACCTCTTTATAATATTAGTATAGATATCATTGACATGTAAGAAAATATATGTGAAGGTTTAAAATATAGGTAGTTTGTTGATGTATGTATGTAACTACGTATCTGTATATTATGTATAGTAGTATGTGTGTGTTTCGTATTATTTTTTAAGCTATGCTAATTATGTAATACTTACTATAAATGCGAAAGTGTATAAATGTATGTGTTTGGTTTTGATTCTTTCACGTCATAATGGAGCGGTGTTCTAATATGAATTTTGTATCTGAAGATACTAAACCTACGTTCCTATATGCCTAAAATTGCTGATTCGTTCGAAGTTAATAGAAACACCAAAATCAGAAAAACTGATTGTAAGGAGATTAAATATTCAAATAAAAGTATTAAGCCTAATTCGTTTTCTAACCCGGAAAACAACTCCTTTCAACACAGTTTTAACAGCTAACGCATCAACACATTCGCATAATATTCAATTTAAATAAATAATTTGCTACCATATATATTATTTACATAATATTTATCTGTTCAGCTCTTATCAGTTGCAGTGTTACGTTTTATAGCCTAGCCTTCCTCGATAAATGGACTATCCATCACCAAAATGTTTATCCAATTCGAACCAGCAGTTTCGGAGATTTACGCGTTCAGACAAAACTCTTTAGTTTCATAATATTAATAAATTAATACTTATATTGTACATATGAATGCAACTCACACACAGACTTTCATTTGAAAACGGTTTGTGAAATATTACTTTCTACTATAAAATGGACGCAATAGCGTTAGGATTTCACGGTATCGCGAGTTTTTAGCCGACTAACTCTTAGATATGACCTTGATCACTCGTGTTTCTATTTATCGCACCCCGCTTTCCGTATAATCAGAGCACACGATTACTTTTTTAAATTCGTTATTAAAATTACTCGTTCTTTTTTTTTATTTAGTTTTTTTATTGTAGAGTAAGTTTTGTAATGTTTTATGGGGTGTCTTATGGAATAAATTGGGAGTTTTAAGTCTTTTTACTAAGGGTATAAAGAACGAATGTATCAAGTTGTATATAACTATTGTGTCATTTTTTTATTAATGACATAATCACGTGACCTAACACTTTATTTGAACAATTGTTAAATTGTTTGTGAAAGTAATCACTGTTGACCGCTGGGCCTTGAAACCATAACAATACCGGGTCACAGCTTGGTCTGTCCGTTTGTAAACAATTAATTGACAATGGCAACATTTCATGCTGGCAGGAAACAAGACTTTATTTTGTTTTATACAGGGGGTATATATCTCATAAATCAAATCTAGATATATAACATAGGCTTAACTTTGATTGACATTGACAGGTAAAAAGGAATATAAGTATTATTGGATTTGTTTAATCTTTTTATTTCATTGTGTCGTTAGTTGGAACGTTGGAGTCAGGGGAAAATCATCCAATGACTTCTCCCGCCCAGGGTAAGGCGAAAGAGAGTGTCAGACTCTTACTGACTAAAAACCTCCCCGTTCCTTCTCCTGCTCTGGGCCGAGGTCGCGGTGCCTCATTGCGCTAAATTCTTACAGTCCTTCTTGGCACAGACACTTGGCGAAAGAAGAAAGTAAAGTAAAAGTGGTCTTAAAACCCTGTATCTATTAAATTTATTTAGACTAACTACTCTCGCGTGGTTTTACCCGATGCTCAGCTCCATTTGATTGTAGCGTGATGTTTTATAGCCTATAGCACTCAGGAACAATGTAGCTATCTATCAGTGAAAGAATTTTGGCAATCCGACCAGCGGTTCCAAAGATTACCCCCTACATACAAACTTACAAATTTTACCTCTTTATTATATTAGTATAGATTTACAATGGTAAACTTAGGCGAAGGCATTTTCTTCCAATTTATGAGGTGATACAGAGACTGTTCATGGTAGGTGTGAGAGTTAAAGGATTATCAAGATAGTTTACACCCAAAAATAAATTAAATATTCCTACAGAACATGATTTATGTAATGTATATGATATGAACTTAATATTATATGTATATAAAATATGTTTATGTATACTACATCATGCATATATTTTATATAATCTTGTATCCGAATTACTATCGAACGTCTAAAAAACGCTAGACATATCGCTAAGCGTCAAACTCGAGAACGAACACCACTGTTTTTTTTTTCGTAACAATTATTGTCATCCGACGAATGTTCCATTAAGGAAAATTTTAAAAATTGCCTTAAAAATGTGCAGTGTAGGAAAGAAATCCGTGAAGAATAGGAAAAATATTTAAATAATAATGTTCTATTTTATTCATTAGATTATATCATATTTATATTATGAACATTTATGCAAACTGTTATTTTTGAACACGTTGCCCCACACTAAGATTTTCTCCTGAGTCGTGGGTGCGTTTACAAATATGTATACATTTTCATATACACATCACCCTCAGACCCGGAACGATAATTTGTGGATCACAAAAAGTGTACAGCTACCTAGTGTATAACTATTACAAGTATTTCAAGAAAAAGACATCTCAAAGTATTTTGATACCAATTGTTTTTTTTACCCCACAGTTGATAGTGGACGAAGAGAAAGAACAGCAAGGTGGCACAGTGGGGCCATGCATGGAGGCTATAGTCCAACGATCTATATGTTTACTGGACGCCCTCTGCGCATTGGCGGCGGCCGAGCGTCCCCCCGGCGCACGCGCACTCGCCCTCACTACCGGCACCGCACTCCTGCGCAGGACGAGGCAGCCCTGTGTTAACAGCGCGCATGTTTATAGGCCACTGCAGGTAATATTATGGTTTATTGGTTATACTTGACCCACACTAACGGGAAATGCCAATAATTAGATATCATTTTTTTTATGTATTTGGTCGGCAAACGTGCAGACGGATTACCTGATGGTAAGCAATCAGCGCCGCCAATGTACACCCGCAACGGAGGATTTACGAGTGCGTTGCCGACCTTTTAGAGATTAGGGATTTGGAGATTTAGGGATTGAGGAGGGATTGGGGGTGGGGAAGGATTGGGCCTCCGGTAACCTCATTCACACGGCGAAAACAACGCTGTGGTTGTTTCACGCCGGTCTTCTGTGAGGCCGTGGTATCACTCCGGTCACGCCGATCCATTCGTGCCGAGGCATGGCTCTCCCACACTTATACTTTTTACAAGTTTCTGTTCTTATTTAAAACATATTACTTCTAAAACTTTCAACTAAAACATAAAATGCCAAGCTAAATTCAACTCAATTGTTACAGCGAATGTTAATCCAATGCAACGAGAATCCAGCGTCACCGACAGAGAAGGAAGAAGTGGAACTTTTGCTTACCCTTTGTGGTTTAGTGCGTAAAGAGCCAGGGCTAGCCAATATCTTCACGACACCCTTCGTTGAGGACAAGTCCACTTTACTTAGTATACCTGAAGATATTCAGAAGTTAATACCTATTAGGAGTAAGGTGGGTATTTAAAGTTTATCAAAATCCGTTTACACAAGTAAAGTTAAAATAAAAAGTCATTTCATCATATTTTTTGGATATTGTCCTGAACTAATATTTTCTCCTGTATCGTGGTTGCGTTTACAAACATACAAATTCACATACACAAACCACCCAGACTCGAAGCGTCAATTTGTGGATCACACAAAGTATTGTTCCGTGTAGGAATCTAACCCGCGGCACAGCCAATCACTCAATCTAACATTAAGTTAGTACTAGATTTAAATACCCTCAATAAATGTTATTTTCAACGAACCTTTCTTTATATTTATACACATTTTTCCAGATACAAACACCAAAGAAGAATCCACTATTCGAAGTAGAGTTACCCCCGAATCCTTTAAGAAATGTATCGATAATTCGAACAGGAAAAGAAGATAACGCCACATGTAGTAGTTCAGCTGATGACAACGCTTCGTGCAGAAGCCAGAAGACAGTCTACGATGATAATGACAAATTCCTGCTTATTGATCTGCTGTTATCCTATTTGAATAGTGCCGTGAGTATTTATTCAAGTCAAAGTCAAAACCATTTATTTCAATTAGATCCTTATAGGCACTTTTGAACGTCAAATTAAGCTTACACTTTAGAAAGTGTCGATCTGTAGGTCAGTCCTCTAAGTAAAGCGACTAGCTCATTCCAAAGTGTAGATTCCGATGAACGAGCAAGAAACTCCACTGTGACTCTTTTTCAATAGTTTCAAAAACAATGAATTTATTTTTGTAAGTACGCCATAAAACAGCACTTTTATATGTCAAAATTATATGTAAAAAACTAGATGAAGCCGGCGTTTCCTATCTGACTTCTCAGAGAAGAAATGCCGAAAATAACTCAGAGGTTCGTCTCTTAGAAAGGTTGGTTGTATTATCTGAGAACAGAGTAACTACCTACACCAAAATTCCAAATACATAGTTTATTTTTGCCGAAATCAAGTTAAGTTTATGATATACACTATACTACATAATACATATATAATACAACGGTAAAAGTACATAAAACATCTTAATCAGAAAATGGTAGATCTCCCTTAATTAGAATGCCTGCACTAAGAAAACCCTGTTGTTAACGGTTTACTTCTAAACAAATCATTTTCTGTATATTCGGAAAATTATGTATGTTAGTATTAACTTATAGGTCTTCTGAATGTTGATTCCAGGACAACCAAGTAGTTCTTCGTGCGTGCGAAGGTATAATGATCGTGTCATCACTGCCAGAAGATGACATAGCCAATTTAGTGACAAGCTGCAGTCCTGCCTGCGAAACCATCGTTCACAAGCTCGCTTCCAAGTACAAGAGCATACCAGCTAACGTAGACCCCAGCGATGTCGACCATCTCAATATTACTTGGGCGTGAGTATACTCGTATTCGTATATCAATTTAAACTGGTCGTTACAAAGTGGCTGAATAATGTATCGTGAAGATCCTACCCCACTTCAAAGTATCTCATTTCCGAGTATTTCATATGTGTTGGCCGTGAATTATGATATGATCAACAGTAGACGAGCAGGATATGATATGTTGTAGCTAGTCACCTACATGTTGTCTTGTCTGTTTTGTTTTAAAACCTAAAATATGTAAATTAACATATTGAATACAAAGAATGAAAAGGGTCCCAATTTCCCCAATTTTACTTTTACCCCCGTTACTTTTCTTATATTTTCTTTATTATGAACCTTCTCCTGACAATAATATATGCAACAAAAAAAGAATCGGCAAATTGGTATAGGCGTTGTTGAGTTATGAGCTTATCAAAACAATTTGCGATATTTGTTTATGTATATCCAAACTATCCAAACTAATATTATAAATTCGAAAGTAAGAGTTAGTTTCGAATAAACCAGTGAACCAGTAAAGATGCCAGCCAATGTCCCGGCTAGTGTTTCCACTATGCCACTTTATACCACCTAACCTAGGCAGAGGTATTCCTAGCAGGATATTAAATAAAGAGTGGGTAGACTGTAAAATTGGAACATTTATTACCAGTAGCTCGGTCGGTACAAATATAGAGTCGGTAGAATTATGGGTTAGAGCCTGTACAGCGATTAACCCTGGTCACTGGTCTAGCACTCCCCTGACGTCACTGGCCGCTGCAGGAGACGAGTGCCCGCGCGTCGATCTCCAGGTCTTGAAGCTGGTGTGTGGGTTCGAGGGCTGACCCGCAACTGTCCACCGCGGTGAAGCAGGATCCGAAATATGAAACTCCGTCTCCATACAACGCCTCAACCAATTTGCCGATTCATTTTTTGTCTGTCTCTTTTCTTAACGCTTAAACTACATAACCGATTTCTGTGAAATTTGGTACTTACAGACATAGTTTGGAACTCGAGAAAAGACATACGATAGTTTTTATACAAAAAATCTGCAGAAAGTCCCTATTCCACGCGATCGAAGTCGCGGGCAAAAGCTAGTAGATAATAAAAAGGCTAAATTATGTTTCAGATATGTCGCCCAAGACTTTGGTGATAAATCGTACAGCAAGTTCCATGGATACAGAGAGCTGACTAGTTTCTTCTCTTGGTTGGACTACTGTGATACTTTAATGAAGGTAGGTGCAATATTTTCTAAAAATTTCGTAGACGTCGAAAAGGCCCCATTTCTCTTACATGGAGGTTCGAAACCTGCCAAGTATTAATATGACGTTTTCAGAGTTACATGTACTTTTAAAGAGTAATTAGACATCACTAACATACGTTAGGAAACCTTTTTTTGTAAGGGGAAAATCATCAAATGACTTCTCTCGTCTAGTATGAGGGTAGAGGGAGTGTCAGATTCTTTTGTTTTTTTTTTTACTAGCCTGTAATGTCCCATTGTTGGGCAAAGGCCTCCCCATCTCGCTTCCATACGTCCCGATCCTTCCACCAGTCTCGACGATAGGCGTCTAGGTCGTCTGACCATCTTTTCCGGGGCCTACCCCGACTGCGGCCTCTATCCTGAGGTGTCCACTGGGTGACAATAGTAGCCCATCTCTCCGGATGCATTCGGCTGACGTGTCCGGCCGAGTCCCATTTTAATAATGTTTTAGTCAGATTCTTACTGACTAAAAAACGCCTCCGTTCCTTCTCTTGCTCTAGACCATGGCCGCGCTGCCTTATTGCGCTTGCCTTACAATTCCGGCTGGACATCAACCATGTAGGGCCCCATCTGTGGTGGTCTAATGGCTCTTTGAGGCACGCGGGGACGCTACTCGCCGTACGCTCGGGTCGTTATAAAACCTGGACTTTAATTTATAATTATAAGGTTGATTAATGCTCATTTGTTCGCCGTATGAGAAGAGGACTTAATAAGCCTTTATTCAGCTGTGGATACTACTTGCCCCCTTAAAATGTAGTCTTAACATAAATGTAAGGTGACTATAGATTGGACAAGTATAGTGTTTTAGATTTCTGTTTGACATTAATTTCCAAATTGCATGCTGATAAGCAAAACATAGCACACTTATGTATGCTTCATCTTATGTTATTATTACCTATGTTTGCAATAAATAACTTGATTAACGGAGACCAAAACCTTCTCCCCCAAAACCTCCCAAATCCCTAAATCTCCAATTCCCTAATCCCGAAAAGGTCGGCAACGCACTTGTAACTCCTCTATTGCGAGTGTCCATGGGCGGTGCTGATTGCTTACCATCATCGATTACAAAAAAAAAACGTTGACTTTAGAAAAACCGTTGTCATAAAGAATATATTTGTACAGGAATGTCACCCGACTATAGCGAGCCATTTGTCCCGTACGTTCCGGCTGAACTTCCTAGAGGGCGCTGCGGAGTCTGGGCTCACGGACCTGCACCACGCCGTCCTCGTCACCGCCATAGTCGCCAAGTGTCTCAAGGTCATCGACTCCCCGGATCTTATCAATGGTATGTTCATATTGCACACTATGGTCTATGATTATGTATTTTTATCTAAAAGTTGTCTTAAAATTGTATGTTAATTGATGTTAGCTAATAAACTAAATTTAAATAATGTTTTAACTTATTAAATATAGAAATACATACATGTGACTGCACGGTAGGCGCGGCTGCCGCGTAACGTGTCGCCGGTTCGATTCCCACACGGAACAACTCTGTTTGATTCACATATTATAGTTCCGGGTCTGGGTGTGATGCGTATGTGAAATTGTATGTTTGTATTTTTTTTAAATAGTTGACCTAACCTGTCACAAAACAATTTAGTAAAATAACATTATCTCGTCTCTCGCAGAGTTCTCGAATTGGCTGGTGGGGGAAGGAGAGGTATCAGAGTGGCCTCTCCTCCTGGCCCTCGTCAACAACTGCCTCACCGACAACCACGATCTCACACTGGAAACACTACGCTTCTTCGAAGTACGTATTTTTGTTCATTTATAATTATTACTTAATGGTTTTTATTCATCATTGTTTGACGAGGTAATTTCAGACTAGTACATTACTAGATCCCAAGGGCGCCCTTAAGCTTTGAGCTATTGTTATTAAACCCGTGGTATGCCGGAGCACGGATATACACGAAACACAATATGTTTTCTATTGTTTGCCATGAGAGGTTAATGTTACGATTTTAGAATATAAGTATCTATGTATGTAAGTGTGTATAATGATCGGATGTCGCAAACGGATACAACGATTTCGATAAAATTTGGTATGCAAAGGGTAACAGAGCCAAAATAATCAACAAATGTTTCATATTATCAAATACCGAACAAAACTCAGTCTTTCAAATATTATTTTTTCCGATAAATACCCACTAGCGTTTGGAAGTCCAGGCGTTAATAATAAAAATGCCAACAAAGTGATAATATTGCATATTGCATCAAACATTTAACTAATATATTTTATTTCGAAACTTATGTAAATGGCGATAGAGTTCAATTTCCTACAACTCTTACATTACAGACGATTATAGAGAAAGGCACAGAGCACAGTATACACCGCGTAGTGCTGGCTCGGGTCATATCCCGCGGGTACTGCGCCCCTCCGCCCGCATTTGACGACGACGAGAGGGACAGACTCAACGACATGTCTATTGGACGCGAGCGGGAGTATAACAGGTTTGTTTGTTATTAATTTAATTCTTTAATCGCGATGTCTGGCAAAAATAGCCTATTTCTCCAATGTCGAGACGTCATATAAGTATACATTCATGTTTTGGCACAAATGGGTCGGTTCGACCGGAGTGATGCCATGGCCTCAAACAAAACCGACGTGAAACACACACATCGTTGTGCTTCGCCGTGTGAGTGAGGTCACAGGAGGCCCAATCCCTCCCCTTCCCCCTTCCCCCCGGCGCGCCCGTTCTTAGTCGAGGCCATGGGGTGGAACGAAAGGAACTAGAAACACGTCTGCTTCTTCAAAATTCATAGAAAACCGACGATTTGACATTTCGAAAAAGTATTGAGATAGACTAGCTTTTTTCACGTTTCCTAATCCCTTTAGAAACGTTGTTTAAACTAGTAAATTTTGTATCCAACGAATATTGTTTCAAATGGCTAATTCTAACAATATATGCTATTTCTCTTAATCATACAGTCTGGCCGTAGTATCATAAAAGGCCCAAAATTATCACCTATTCTCGAGAGATGGCGTTGCTATCAAAAATCACAAAGTAATGTTATTAATAATGTTTGTCTATGCAATTAGTTATGTTACACTCCACGGTTGACAGAATGGCTGGGCAACTAGCTGCGGTGCAACGAATAGTGGGTTCGATACCCGCACGGAACAACACTGTGTGTGATGCACAAATTGTTGTTTTGGGTCTGGGTGATTTGTTTATGTGAATTTGTATGTTCGTCAACGCACCAACGACACGAGAAAATCTTTCTTTTTTCTTTGTCCAGGGAAGCGATGAAACAGTTACAACACGAAGACCACGTGAACGAGCAGATCACGGACATACTGGTGCACGAAGGCCTGGAGCCCGGTCTGCGCCCCGAGCATGACAACATACACCGAGTTATAAACAGGTTCGTACTAATTATATAAATATATACATATCTACTGAAGTGTATGCTGGCTGTTAATATTTATATGTAACCTTTTCTTTTTTCAAAATAGTTTTTAGTCTAATTTTAAATAATCTATCGAATTCAAGTTTAAAATTCGAATATGAAATCGTACGACATTTATAAGTAATGTTTCCAAATCTTTAACACATGACCAAGGAGTTTGTATAAGGCAAACGTTTTTTGCTTTTTTTTATAAAAAATGCGCAAAGACTATGCCTTAGTATACCTCACTTTTCAGATTCTGTTTTAATACAATTTGAAATGTAAAATTATTTAACACAAATATTAACAGACTGCATTCACACTGATTTTTCACAAATTAATTCACAAAGACAGCTATCGGGGTATTTGGTAATTGCTTTGCAAAAATCAGCTTTATATACACAGTTATACGCTTTAAATTAATTTGAAATATTTTAACAAAAGCTTAAAATTTTTAGCCGGCTCATACGAATCAAAGAAATCATCGAAGAAATGATGAAAAATGAAAATGAATCGGTTATACCCACCGACCATACTGCCAGAGTAAATAATGATAGCGATTAGTTTAATTTTTTGCGATGGTAACATTCTTTTACTAGACAATATTGACGTATGAGGTTGGTTTGCCAGATATATTGAGATTATTTCTATAGTGACATATGAAACCAAGTTTTACAAGGGTCAAATAATGAACTTCATAGGAAAATGAACTTTTAGCTGTATACGCAAATAATATTTTTGAATGAAATACAGTTTAGAAGTATACTACTCTGTCAAGAAAGTACCGGGAAAAAGTCAATAATACACAAAATGTTTGTTATTCATCTAAATTTATTTTATCACCTTCAAAGTATGCTTCTTCAGAAACGATACACTTACGCCAACGAATAATCCAATCATCGAAACTTTTTTTAAACGCTGTTTCCGGAATTGAGTTCAGTACTCGCCGCGAATTCTCCTTTATGTCTTCTAACGATTGAAAACGGGTGCCACGAAGGGGTAATTTGAGTGTGGGAAAAAGAAAGAAGTCGGCTGGAGCCATATCTGGTGAATATGGTGGCTGCTCGATGGTGTTTGTTGAGTGTTTGGACAAAAAATCGTTTACAATGATGGTCTTGTGCGAAGGCGCATTATCGTGATGCAAAATCCAAGAATTTTCTTTCCACATTTCTGGTCTTTTTCGTCGAATTTGTTCTCTTAAACGCCGCATAACGCTCAAATAATATTCTTTATTTACCGTTTGACCTTCGGGCAAGAATTCTGAGTGCACAACACCGCGATAGTCAAAGAAAACAGTCAACATGACTTTGACTTTTGATCGACTTTGACGTGTTTTTTTCGGTTTGGTTCAGTTGGAAGGCGCCATTCCGAAGCTTGTTGACTAGTTTGCATGTCAAACTCGTAAACCCACGTCTCGTCACCAGTAACAATGCGTTTCATGAATGTTGGGTCGGTATTGACTCGTTCTAGCATGTCCTCAGCGACTTTCATGCGATTTAGTTTTTGAAGAAAATTCAGGTCTTTTGGGACTAGCCGAGCGGCAACACGTTTCATACCCAAATTATTTGTTAAAATGGTACGGATCGACTCGTGAGATACAGAAAGTTCGGCGGCCATCTCTCTCAAACTTGAATGAGGATTTTCAGTCACTATTTCCTTCACTTTTGCGATGTTAACTTCAGTTGCAGACGTTGATGGCCTACCAGAACGAGGCAAATCTTCCATCATATCTCGACCGCTTTTGAACGCTTTGTACCACTCATAAGCACGTGTTTTTGATAAAGTCGATTCACCGTAAGCCTTCTGTAACATTTTGAGAGCCTCCGAACACGAAATTTCATTGGCGATGCAAAATTTAAGACAAACTCTTTGTTCGATGTTTTTGTCCATTATAAAATTCGCAATACTCACTAGATATTATAAAACTAAAAACAGCACTGTGTTTAATATAAATAACAGATGCAACTCAAATTCCGCGCCAAAATGGAAAACAGTTATGCCAATCTAACAACAACAAAAAAAATTAAAGTTCGAATTTGGAACCATAAAAAAAACATTCATTCCCGATACTTTGTTGACTGAATGTATAGTAGGTATTTCTATTCTTCGTTCAATTATATTTATTTTCACGGCTAAGGCTTGTAGGCAGCTCTGTAAAAACCCCGTGTTTTAATCAGAATAACAAAAATTATAAAAGTAAAGTATAAACAGCAGTAAGTTAATAGTTACCTGTCTTAAACCAATTTTTATTGGTCTATATCAGTTGTTGACAATGTCAATAATCAATGAAACAATGAATTTATTTTTGCAAGTAGTCCGTAAAAGGGCACTTTTACACGTCAAATTATATGTAAAACAACTAAATGAAGCCGGTATTTCCTATCTGACTACTCAGAGAAGAAATGCAGAAACAAACTCGGAGATCAATCAATAATGAGTTATATATCAATTCAGAGATTTTGGGTAGAGGTCAATTATTCCGGCCCTCGATTATATTAGTCAATAATTTCTATCCTCGTAAAAAATATTTTTACAAGCTAATAATTCGTGATATTTTTAAATTCAGTTTGAGTTGCTAAAAATGTGTAAATTTACAAACCAAATGAAACAATGTTTAAAACTTAAAAACTCATCTTTATCAATTAAAAATGGCGTCACAAAGCTGGCTTATCCTTAAATATCGCTTAAATATAGAAAGTTAAAAAATAAGCAACATAAATTAATATAAAATTAATATAAATAAAGTATTAATATTACAACTGACTTCAATCGAACAAGTCTATTGCCGTCTCTATCTAATATATTAAGATGAAAGAGACGAAATCTTATTGTTACTTTTAAAGCTTGTTAGAACTGTCATAGGTCAAACTAAGTCTCTTTTCATCTTTGTCTCATATACTGAGATGAGAAAAGACAAAACATTTCTTAGTTTATTAAACATTTTATAGTTTTCAAGGTCTTCTTTATATTCTTTCCTCTCTTTCTTTCTTTCTCTGTTAGTTAAGGATGGCAATAGCTTGTTTGATTTTAATAATCCATAGCAATTAAACAGGTGTTGGGATCCTAAAAATAGCCTTTTGAAATTAGTTATGTAGGTAGGTAGGTAGAAATATTTTTATTTGTCCTAAAAATAAAGAAAAATTCAATAAATACTTTATTTTCTTTAAAGTTAAATTGCGTGTTTTTTAAAAAGTGACGTCTCTTCTCTTTTTTTAAATTTTGGGACAAATAATAATAAGTTTTTTGTTTTAATAATTCACGGTTGTCATAATCATCGCGACGTACAAGTAGTCTTGCCATAAATTCATTAATATTATTAAGTTTAGTTAGTAGTATATAACGTAAAACGTATATTTAATTATAATATAATCTAATAAGTATTTAGATATAAAAAAAATAAAGTAACTACTACGGAATATTTCGCGTTTATTTTTAACGTTATTACAAACAAACGTACTAGCATACAAATTACTGGCAAAACTTGAGCTTATTTCTTTTAGAAACACATAATGGTCCTGATAAATTAATAATTTCAATTTCGATGTTCATTTACAGTATGGTATTACTAATTTATTTTTTAACGCGATAGAGATCCTCCTTAGCTTGTGTGCCGAATGGTCCTAACAGCTAACCATAAAGTATTGTCTACACGATTGACGCAGGCAGGGCAACCGGCACCTGTCCAATGTGTCACAAGTTCTATTCCCGCACTCAACTATCTGTGAACCGCAAAATGTTGTTCCGGTGCTGGTAGTGATGTGTATGTGTATTGGTATGTTCGTAAGTTCGTAAATTCTCACGATACCCGGAACGAAAATGTGTGAAGCTCCTTTAAAAAACCAATTTAACTGCACGCGGCCTTCACCTTGATATTTCCGGCCTTTGGAGGTTACTTCCCTTCCTTAAGTGGCGCGCATGGAACACTGTGTAAACGCCCATATACAGTGCGGCCGACGTATCTTGGCGAGTCTGAAGTTAGCCGTTTGTCTGCGCAATGGACCTTTTAGGAACAAAATTGTGTACTGCGCAGCTCATCGGCTAACTTCAGACTCGCCATGATACGTCGACGGTATTGTAGCTGGCTACTGACTCCCCTAGCTAGTCGCCAGCAGTTCTTCCATTTTTCCCATCCAAACGTCAACCCATCAACTTTTATTTTTTTCTTTAATGTCCTATTCATTCAATACCATTGTCACAGATAGTTTTTAACTTAAAGTAAGGAAATAAACGCGAAATTTTTCGTGCCATTCACAATGGCTGCTTGTATAGTAAATATCATAATGTAAATACTATTTAATAATTTTGTATAGTCTACACAGATATTTAGTATATGCGGATTAAGAAACTAAAATTGGCTTATTGATAGCAAAGCAACTATTAGGCTATTGTTACATTGACCAGTGGAGAAGTGCGGACCTATCCAAGACACAAAGTATTTTTTCTAGTGACGAAATACAAAAAGACATTTATATTAATTTAAATATAACGGCAGAAGCCAATTACACTATTTATAATCTACACTGACACCCAGTTTCTGAAAGGCTTGTCAACGCTAAAATTAACTACTCTCCTGTTAAATCTCTTGTCAAGTCATCTGATTGGTTGTTGATAATTCAGTCAACCAATCAGATGACTTGACAAACGATTAAATTGATTTTAACATTTGTCGGTCTTTCGGCAACCGGGTGTTAATATTAAGAAAAAAGAAGAGATTTATAAATTAACAAACAGTACAATAAATTCATTAAACACACACAGTCCTGTATTCTTCTCACAAAACTTCAAACGCTCTGTCAGTATCGTGAGCACAGGGTTTGAGGAGTCAGTAAAGCGTTAATAGCCATTAATGTCCGAGGAACAGGCGAAGTGGGCAATAGTTGGAGATGCTTGCTTGAATCTGCTGCTGTCATATATCTTCAGGAAAAAAGTTAAAATATTTATTATTTTATTTAACGAAACCATATTTTAAAAGAAACGATTAATAAAACCAGAGAGTAGCTTCAACAGACTGTCTTTTATTATTTGTTTGATACATTCATAGAATAAGTTTAGTACTAATTATTACCACTAGATGGAGCCACATACATAGTTTAAACTATTATCCGTATGTATCAATATTGGTCAGGGGCAGGGGCCATAGTATTTCCATAGTTATCATATCCACCAGTCCATAGCAACCCATACCTATAACCCTATCAATTTTAACCACATTTCACAATTAAATAGTCCTGCATCAACCGGGGATTGTCCTTGGGTGCACTTATGCATACTTATGTATGCACTATGCATACAGGGATAATTGCCGGCTGTTGTCCCATCACATTTAGATTAAAACTGTTCAACGGGCCTCTGCCAGTTGGCTTCGGCTCCTCGTGCCTTCCAAAGGTCCGCGACCCTGTGGTCCCGTGAAAGGAAGAAGAGAATGATCAGCTTAGTACTCAATAAATAGCTACATACCGGTCTGTCTTTGTACAGAATCAATATTTATTTCCGTAACATAAATACCAAATGACTATGCAGACTGTACACTTTGCTCTACAATATATTTTTTGACGTTTTATTTTATCAAAATTACCAATGATTTTATGCCATTATACGTATTTTTATTATATTATTATTTATCATATTTATGTTAACGAAAGATTTGATACGAATTATTATTTATTATGAAATGCACTGAATTTGAGAATCTTATCGCATTAAAATTATTAATTTTATAGAATTTATTATTTTAATATACTATGTATAGTTAGGATAAGGTCGTAGATCGTATTTCTTTATAATAATATCGATAATTTTAGTAACATAAATTTATCGATAGAGTGTCACAACACTAGTGCCAGTGTCTGAGAGACGGTTTATTCCTATTTTAGAAGCTATGGATGATATTTCTGGCTGCGTTGTCGTGTGATTTATGTATTAATTTGTTGCTTTTAAAATTTATTTAAGATTTTTAAAGTGCGTTCATAACGGTCTGATCATTTTAAGCTATGGACCTTCTCTTCATTCATCGAAATCCAAGCGAAGGCCGGCTTTCGCGCATCTATTGTGTCTCGAATTACCACGATTAAAAGGTTAATAAGAGGTTTTCCATTAACCATTTAATGTGTCGGCACGTTCGAGTTCGCAATTTGAAAGTTTCAGGTTTCTCAGACAAAATATACTAACTATAAATTTGTAGTCCCTTAGTTGCGTTTAACTCAAAACTACACATTTTATGAAATTGTTGATGTGAAGACAAAAATTTGTTTTACTCTCACCGTATTAATTCTTTTTATATTCGAAAAATACTATTCAAATATCAAACCCTACTAATGAGACCTACATTAGACCTTTGCTTAGCGTATAATTAATTAGCCTTTGTATCTGGTAAGCGCTTTAAGCCAAGCTCCTGCTTGCGATATGACATATTCTAATCTATTTATAAATACACACACATACACACACACAGTTATGTTAAATAAAGTAGTAACCTCAAGTTCTCTTACCACACCCGTGACACAATTATATAAAATTGTTGCTGTCACTGTCTTATACAAACATTCTGACGCGACAACATCATAATTATTCCCCAGGTAACTTTTATCTAACCATTGAAAAATCAGCCATTAATGGATTTTATTATACACTAGCTACTCTTGAGCGGTTGCACTCGCTGCCTCCATTTGATTGTAGTGTGAGCCTTTAACATTCAGGAACATTGTAGCTATTTACATCAGTGAAAGAATTTTGGCAATCCGACTAGCGGATCCAAACAAATCCTTACACACAAACTTACTAATTTTACCTCATTATAAGATTAGTATGGATAAAAAAATCTTCCTGTTCAATCATTCTATCTATTAAAAAAAACACATCAAAATTCGTTGCGTAGTTTTAAAGATTTAGACAGAAAAGGGACTTTGTTTTATACTATGTAAATAGTTATTTACAAACAGAAAGTAACAAATTAATACATAACTGTATCATACATATAATTATGTGATAAACTTTAGTTCTATTTCACATAGAAAGGGTATGGTGGCGTTTGGATATATGCAGTTCCTACAGATGTAGTTATAAAAATAAAGTATTTAAAAATATCAAAATGTTATCCATGTACAATATTTTATACATTACACGACATAAAACTTTAATTTTTCTATATATAAATAAATAAATAAATGTACAAGTTTTATATTATAACTTTTCCTTGCCCTTTCTATGTGGAATGACTATTTATAATTATAAGATCTGTGATTTTGTATGTCCATATATTTTGTATCTGTATATATGAGATTAAATGTATTGAATTGGATTGTTGTTTTACTGGCCCGTTGGTTGCAGTTTCCTGTTGCTTCTGCCGCGGGCCATACTCTCCGACCCCGTGGGCGCCGACTACGAACATTATATACACGATGCCCATAGACGTTATCAGGTAAATATATGCATACATTTACATTAAAGTAGTGGACATTTACGACTTATGTATATGGGAAGCGTGGCAGTGTTGGAATATTATGAATCATATCTTGTTTATACCGAATTTGGTCGAACATGATTTTATATTGCCAGTTATGTTATTATGTGTGGCTAAAGTTATTCATCGACACCTGAACCAGCCTTAATTTCATCAAGGTATAGGTTATAAGTCACGTCGTCAGAATTTGAATTTACGTTAGTTATTACCCATAAAATACGGTTTTTCGTAATTAAACCCAATAATTGAAGTATTTTTTTTAAGAAAATACCTTTTTTGAGTTAAGTCCCTTTTCTATTAATCATAGGCACGATTTGTTTCGCTTTCAACCTCTTGTCTGTCGGTATATGACCAACAATAGAAAACACATTGTATCTCGCGTGAATCTGCGTCGCATATCACGGATTAAAGCGATAACGATTATCGAAATCGATAACGATTATCACCCTCGTTCATCAGTCATGAGGTTGTACATCCCGCGGAAGCGTGGGGGTCGAGGCTTTCTAAACGCTAAGACCCTTCACAACCGTGAGGTGTGCAATCTCAGAGAACATTTCCTGAAAGTGGACGAGGATATGCATCGAGAAGTAGTCACAGTGGACAAGGGATTCACACCACTATCCTTGGCTAAAGAGAACTGGTGCAAACCCGTAGTACTGAGCGTCAATGACCGCAAGACGGTATGGAGTAGCAAGGAGCTTCACGGACGCTTTTTCCGGGCTCTCCACGGGCCCGATGTAGATTTCCTAGCGTCCGTAGCTTGGCTACGATTCAGTAACCTCTTCGGAGAAACTGAAGGATTTGTATGTGCAATTATGGACGAAGTTATCCTCACGAATAACTACCGGAAATATATTATGAAGGATGGGACGGTTGACATATGTCGGGCATGTCATAGCCCCGGTGAATCCATCAGACATATTATTTCCGGCTGTGGTCGTTTGGCTAATGGCGAATACTTGCACAGACATAATCAGGTGGCCAAGATTATTCATCAGCAACTTGCTTTGAAATACCGGCTTGTTGAGTCTGAGGTTCCGTACTACAAGTATGTGCCCGACCCAGTTCTCGAAAAAGACCATATCACATTGTACTGGGATCGGTCTATCATCACAGACAGGACTATTGTAGCCAATAAGCCTGACATAGTGTTGGTAGACCGACTAGCGCGTCGCACGACGATAATCGATGTTGCCATTCCTCATGACGAGAACCTCGTGAAAGCTGAGAAAGATAAACAATTGAAATATCTTGACTTAGCTCACGAGGTTGTTGACATGTGGAGTGTGGACTCGGCTATCGTTGTGCCGATAGTTGTGTCGGCAAATGGGTTAGTCCCCAAAAGCCTCGACAACCACCTTAAGAGGCTGACGTTAGGCGGATGGATCAAGGGCCTCATACAGAAGGCAGTCCTCCTTGAAACGGCACGTATTGTGAGGAGGTTCCTGTCTTTGGAGCCCTAACTGCCGGTAGCTTGGACCTTGCTCCCGCTGCCGGCTGGCACCTACTATATACCTATACACTACCTACTATATACCTGACTTTCTGTATACCTACCTACTTATTTTCTAATTTCATGTTCCATTTCATTGTTTAATTATATTACAATTCTAATATTGTTATAATATTTTTATATAATTCTAATTATGTTATTGTAATAGATAGTTTCGTTCTTACTCTACTAGGTTATCACTTTATTTTTAAGAATGCTGGTTACCTGTAATTGGCGACTGTATAAGGCCAAAACCTAATATTTCATTGTTTTATTTAATTTGCTATATACAGAAGCTGTTGGTGTACCTTTATTAAATAAATAAATAAATAAATCGAAATTGAGCTTGACTAGGGGGAGAGAATTGAGAATATTGAAAGCTTCTTACCTTAGAGTTTAATTCAGATTTCTTCCAAAATAATACTGAAATAAATTTTTCATTAGAGAATTTTAGAATTTAGAAAGCCCGCCCTGCTTCGTGCTTTCCTTGTATTTCGATTTAATACAAGCCAATAATAGCTTATAGAGTAAAGTAAAGTAGTCATAATTTGCAGCATATATAAGAGTCTATTTGAGGAAAAATGCTTTAGTGGATAAGCGTTCTTTAGTGCTGTTTGATTTCCTATTTATAGCAATTATTTTCTGACTACAAAAGTTTGTGGGCACATGCAAAATAGGGGTAGGTTAGCCAGGATTACGGGGTAAGTGCAAGAATGTTCTGCGGCCTCATCCTGAAGCTGGAGATGGAACTTGGTGGTTTTTGGAAGTAAGAGTCTGACACTCTCGCCCCACCCTGGTCGAGAGAAGTCTATTGATGAAAAAACGGTACAAGAGTAAACACTTAATAATACATTAGATCATATAATTTTGATGTAAAGAGTTTATGTAGAAATATTCCAGAAGAAATCCATTTAGCAGTTTATCCATAACAATTCCAGTACTGGTTAGACGCGACCTCAACGTTCAACTGGCCAGCGGACTACAACGGCGTAGATACCACGGCCAGCTCAACACACAGCTACGACAGTCGACCTGAAGCCGATATACACCTAGACGAGGCCTTCGAGCCACTCAAACTCGAGCAAAAAGACCCCAAACAATTCTCACAAAGACTTGTCCTAAGATCCAGAGACCTTACCTCGCAAAATTCCCAAACGGAGGAGGAATTCGATGAGGGACCCTTCTTCAAAATGATTTTCAAACTCCTAGCCAACATGCCCTCCCAGCCTTACCAAGTTAATTTACACCTTACGTCCATAATCTCCCAGTTAGCGTTATTGCCACATCCAAACTTGCACGAGTATCTGCTTAACCCCATGTTGCCTACCGCTAAGAAAACGCCGACGTTGTTCAAAACTCTCCAAGAGGTGGCGCGGCGGTTGACTATGGAGATACCGAGGTTAAGGAATTTTAAGAAGATCATTGAGAATACTCGGCTTTGGCTCATGAGTGAGGATCCTAGTTATGATGAAAAGTAAGTACGCTGAGCTTAAGATGTTTACTATTTTTGTTTAACACTATTCAGGACATTATACAGTTCTGAACCAAGAGTTACCAACATTTAATTTATATTTTAATAAATATCAGATACTAAGATTTTGTATGAAGTACCACTTTTTTATGTGTAAGACGGCAAACGAGCAGTTGGATTACCTGATGGTAAGCAATCGGCGCCTGCCATGGATACTTGTAACACGTGCAAGTACGTTTTGGAGTAGGGATTGGGGAGAGGAACAAGCTTAGGACCAAAACAAATCAATATTTGTGGAGTCAAACAGAAAGATGCAGATGCGAGTCAGTTTCGATACTTGCCACAAATAGTTTACAATGCAGCATGTAGCTTTAAAAAAAAACAATAATAAACCGGGATATAGCTTTGACATTTTAATGAATCTGTTTATATAATGTTCCTTCGTCTTAGGTTATTTTTTTGGGAAAAAAGAAAATAGTAAAGAAAAACCGACATGAAACAACTAGGTACAGCGTTGTGTTTCGTTGTGTGAGTGAGGTTACCGACCCCTCTGCCCATCCCTCCCCAATTCTGAATTTTTCATCAAAAGCGTGTTCGAATCTCGAATAAACTAACTCACAGAACAAATAACCGTCCTTTGCGGTGCGCAGTTGGGTAAAGACATTTAATTACACATTAAGAGCAGATTTTTCAATACTCGGGTAAATTTTATGTGAGGAATAAAATTGTTGCTCTCACTGTCTTATACAAACATTCTGACGCGACAGCATCATAATTATTCCCCAGATAACTTGTAGCCATTGAAAAATCAGCCCTAAGATAATAAAAACTTATATATTCCTCCAGTGCCGACCATAACCAGCTAGTAGAAAGCCTGATAGTGCTGGAAGAGTTCTGCAAGGAGCTGGCAGCTATAGCATTCGTCAAGTATCAACATTCGTTGCATATGCAAAGGTAAGCTTCAAGTCTATACGCAAACTGGTTGTAAGCTTGCGTAGTTCCCTTCGTAAACGTAATGAGGATAGACCTGCTTGGTGGGCGATTCCGAACTGTTTTAAATATTTCCCCCGACCAAGATTTATAATGCACAGCAATTTCATCTACTCACTTAACACCATTGATTTGTGGACTAACGTATCGCTAAAAGAGTTAAGATCTTCAGAATGATTACTTGGTTATAATTTGCTAAGAACTGCAAGAGATGGCGAAACATCGTAGCAAAGTCCAGGATCCGTGGCTGGGTTTACATAGTTCGCGTAACATTCTCGAACATTTGCAAAAGTAAATAGGACAGTACCTAGTCTAGATTAACTTGTATATTTTTCCATTTTGGAACGACTACATAGCATGACGTACAGCGAACTCGATTTTGCTTCAAAAAATTTCTTGTGACCTGGGTTTTTTTCAGTGAATTATTTCAGTCAGTTAGACTGAAACAAATAATTTAATTCTAGGATTTATTCATGATAATATCCTCGTTATTTCTACATTGGGACTACATTTTACTTAGTAAAGTTTCGCAAATTGTAACGGAATGCAATGTATATTAAACACTATAAAAATAATGTAACACTGTATATTATGGTCGCTAAAGTATTAATTAATATTTCTAATACTTAGATATAGTACAAAAACAGAATTTGCATTTGAAAACTTAGTTTGTTACTTCAGTAAATTTTTTTGAATAATTTGTTTAATTTATTGTTTTTAATTTTTAATTATTAATTTATAAGATCAGTCATTGCTTAACCGACTTTAGAAGTTTAATATGTATAATGTGTTTTTGTTATTAAGTTTTGTTAAGATTTTTTCCGTGTGGGTTATTTTTGAATTTGATTTGAGTATGTGTGCAAACTTTGAATTTATATTTAAAATACTTACGTGATAACTATCAAGAATTTTTAAATTCTCATTCTGTTTGTCGAATTTTTCAATTTAATGCCAGTAAAATTATAGGCAGTAATCACACGGAATGATATGGTGTGTAATTTTATCAATTAATAGTCCACGTGCACTATTAAACACAAATAGATGTTTGCTTTACTCCTAGTTATCATAATAGAACCAATTAATAGCCGATTTTTAATCTCATATCAGATTTTTGTGATCAGGAATTTATATAAAATCCTTTGAAAATGATTCTAAACGTGTTTTGTATTGTCAGCACAAATAATAAAGAATCTATAAACTTATTATAGTGTTCAATGCTCGATAGTAATTGTATTTATTGTAAACGTGTTTAACTTGTCATAAATAATAATTCTAGTCTCATCTAATACCATTGGCCTATTCTGCAAGAAAGCAAACGCGGTCCAATACCTCGGTGTTGCCAACACTGTTATAATTTTTGGAACTTAAAATTACCAGTGTGAAAAATTTATATAGAGTAGAACTTGTTGTATATTGTAATTGAAAATTAATATAGCTATAGTAAATACCAGTGCAATATATTTTTTATAAACATTCCTCAGTGAACTGAAACTTTGGTTTCTTATCACATACTTTTATTTGTTTGCACAAATACAATGTTATGGATAGTTTTGTTTATGTATAATGCCTGAATTTGCTGTTGAAATAAAATGTGAAAGATATTCTGGTTGTTTTTTTTCTACACATTTTTTCGTTTTCCCACTGATTAATGGATGGAGTCACAATTACCTCTATGGGGAATGGAAAAAAAACTTGCCAATACATAGTGCATAATCAATCTGCTTTACTACATCCGATACGTCACTACTGAGAAATGATTGAAATTTAACTCACAATCAACGATATAAAGAGCTAGCGTGGGTGTGGGAATGACCTTGGTCGAGAACTCACAAGTATCACAAACTCTCAAACGTATCTACACATAAATATCCTAGACAAAACATACATATGCAAATATTGACTTGCTCACTCACGTAAGTTGAAAGATGCGATGGGAATAACTGGCCGAAAAGGAGCCTTAATTTTTAAATCACTTACATAGTAGTTTAGAAAAATATAGATTTTTTGTTGCAAATAATATCGCTTATAATGGTATAGCTTATTTTGCAACATCGAAAAAACTATTCGGCCTACCTAAAGAAAATCTATTATAATCTATTGTTACAACCCTTTTTTGTACCGGGTTGGAAAATATCGCCCTCGGGGAAGGGCGAAGGGCACTGACAGACTTTTACTGACTAAAAACCAACCCTGGGCGGATATCGCCGAAGTATTCGTCGCAACTTCCCGATGAGATTATTACAATGATTATGACTGTAGTAAAAATCTGGTTGGAGTTTAGTAAATGATGTGGGAATTAACCCTGACCTCGATTAAGTACTTTGATCGTCAAACCTGTTTGGGCGGAGTCTTACATACAATACGTGTTGAAGGTTTGGAATATATAAACGTTGATGCAGATTGTAGGGTTGGAAATCTCTATCGTGGAAACTAAAGTGTGGGAGAGCCAAGATCGACACGAATGGGCCCGCTCGACCGGAGTGATACCATGGTCTCACAGAAAACCAGAATGAAACAACCATAGCGTTGTGTTTCGCCATGTTAGTGAGGTTATGCGATGCCCAATCCTTTCTCTTTCTAATCCCTATAAGATCGGCAACGCACTTGTAACTCCTCCGTTTGTTGGGGGGTCCGATGGCCGATTGCTTACCATAAGGTAATCCGGGTCATTTTCCTTTCCATCACTAAAAAAACTATCAGAAATGTTGTAAAGGCTTCCGTACCTACCAATATGAGTGCCGAAGCATTTATTAATTTGTTATAAAAGCTTTCGTATACAGGTTTTTTTATGGGAAATAAGAAATGAGGCCTAAGTTTTATACAGTTGCCAATTTAGGAAAAAAAAAACAAAATTCTTTGTTTATATTCATACTACTATAATATTTATTAAACTTTTTTTTAAACATTCTTTCAGAAGTAATAGTTCAATTCATACCTTTGCTCCGAAGATTAGAGCGTTCATACTAACAAACTTTAGCAGATTTTTGTTCTCAGTTATTTTTTAAAATGTGAAAACCAAGCCACCAAAACGGTTTGTTTTTTAAGTTTTTTTTTATTGGTTTAGCACAGTCTTTGGCCACTTATTATTCTAGTGGTAAGTAGTAATGAGATAAATAAAAGACAAGTAATAAAATGCAATGGTGATTATATTTTTTCTCAAATATTAAATAATAATGCGTAATAAACATTGTAATAACTATCAAACAAAAGTTGTTAAAAGTATTTACAACATGGAAATGTATCAACTGTTTGTATGAAGACGACTTTTTAAAACAAAAAGTAAATCACTAAGAAAAAATAAAAAAAATGTTTATGTTTTAGCCATAATCTATTGAGTACATGATCAAACATAACATTACGAATCCGACAGTTATGTAAATGTTATGTAAAGATTATCCTATTACTGACAAAGTCTAAACTAAGCACTGCATAATTGGTCCATCAAAATAACAAAAAACAGTAATTAAGAATAAGGATCAAAATAGATCAAACTCCATGAACTTCAAGAAACAGGTCCACTTCAAAGCCCTTTACAATAAACTCGTACAAAAAAGGAAAACAATTAAAAATATTAATAAAAAGCCGTCTCCATACAAATAGTGATAAATAATTATCACTCATTCACCTTACACTCTCACAGTTACTTACATAAATACATACATGTAACATTAAATCGATATCGTTTAACGCCATCTACATATTATTGATCGTTACAAACGGTTCATTAACTACAGTGTTTACTTGCTTCTTGTACAAATACCGGAATAAGTTATAGATTGTACTATGTTTCAATACCGGTGCCAAACGGCTGGTGGCAAAAAATAACTAATATACATATATAAAAAAAAAACAACGTCATATCTAAAAAGAGAGGCACTTGGCGTTTCTATTTGAAATTTTCAGACGCTCAAGTTCGTTTTTTATTCAAGTTAAATAGAATTACGTAAGGAAACAGTTATGATGCGTGTACGCATGTAAGAGGTGGGGCTAAGGTCGACCAATAGCAACTGAGCTCCGCCCCTTTTAACTCAGTACACAAGCTCGTCATAATGATTGGACTCAAACGTTCGAAGTACATAACAGTTTGAATAAGTTGTCTATATACCATTAACTACAAATATATGTTAACAATTTAAAACAACATAAAGATCACAAATAATTTGATTTTACCGCCTATCTAAGTATTTAACTGGCCACTTGACCAAACTGGTGATTAAGTATGTATTTATAATAAATGTTCACAGCATCGTGTAGAATTAGAGTACTTTACGACTACAATGAGGATTTTTGCGCCACCAGAGGCGCTAGTGTAGCTTAAGGTCCAAAAAGTTATTGATATAAATAGCATAGCCATCTTCATTTGGTGAGCGCAAAAATCCTTATTCACAAATAAAGTTGACACTCAACTACACTTTACTAATTAAAATATAAATAAGCTGTATTTTTCTTCCACAAAATAAAGATTGTAGTAGGACTTGAATAACTGCTATAAGTACTGAAATCCCATATTAAGATTTATCCCTATAATGCGCGCAGCGCAGCGTTTTTCAGTTACTTCTCAACCGAATCGGCAATTTCGCAGACAAAATAAGATGATAGTGCAAAATATAGAATTAAAGCCTTTGTATGTAATTAAATGTCAACTTTTTTTGGATCATTCATCTATTCAAGTCTTCATAAAAACTCGTATATTTTAAACCGCAATAACTTAAAATCTCTCTATGAAAATTGGATTCTATTCCAGTTAATTGCTGGCTGAGTTTCCATCTGGCTTACTGACTGATAAAATTTGAAAAACCTTCATATAAAAGGGGTCTACATATGTCATGTCAGTAAACCAAACATAAACATATTCGACAGTAGTAGCAGGCCTTTTAAAATAAAAGCTATTACGTGGCACGAATTTTTAGGACCGAATCTATTTTTACATTTTTGGTCAGTACTACGAGATTTTAAGAATTTCCATTCTTCACACAAAGTCTCTCTAGATTATTTTTCGAAAATGCTCAAATTATAGATACTGATATAGTTGGATGTAAGTATTCCTCGGTCACAAAAGTTATTTCGACTTTTCAACACAATAAAATTTTAAAAATATTCATGACCATTTCAAGTATAGTAATAGTATACTGCATTTTCAAGCGATTTCTTAGTAAATTAATATGATTTGGCAAAAATATGTTAAGCTCACAAGTATGTATCTCGTACGAACTTTTCAATGGATATACAGGCAAGTTAAAAGTTTCGTTAAAATCCGTTAAGTAGTTTCAAAGATTTTTTGAGTTTAAAGTTTGTATAAACGCTCGTGCCACGTAAACGCTTTTAACACAATAATTAGCAGTTCAAAAGTTCAGATTTTATTAGTTTTAATTTTATTTATGAATTGGAAAACATTATCTATTACACAGACATTACAAACATTTGTCTATGACTATTTTATTTTATGGGTATTTACAATTTTCTCTTGAATTTCATATTTTGATTGATTTTGCAAATTTCAACGTATTTATTACGATTACAAATCTATGCTAAAATTATCCAATAATTCAAACTATATAATTTTTTTTTCTTACTAAAGCGACATAGGAAAATGCACATATGGCCCTTTACCCAACTCAAAACTGAAGTGTTAATCTATCGTCTGTCGGTAGGTATATGAGACATAACATAAAATAAAACAAATTGTGTCTCGCTTACATATATGTTCCGACATGCCACGGGCCAAATACCTCGACCAAAGAAACCTAAGAAAGGTTTGTGTGCATAATACGGTTCAAAAAATCAGAAGAATAAATTCTACCTAAATATTGGATAATTCTAGTAATAGATGGCTTCTCCAACAAACATAAGTTGTGTTAGCTACAACTGTAATTTTAATAAATAAAAACTAACTCAAATATTTTATTGAAAAACACATGAATTTGTCACATCACTTTCTGAAAGCATAATCTCGAAATATTATCATCACAATTTTGAAAAAAAAAACAGTTTGTTTTCCATAGACAAGGTTGATTGTCAAAGATACTTTTGTTATGAGGTCCATGCAAAAGAAATATATTTTTTTCTGATATCAACAGAGTATACGACTAGGGGGTCTGGCTAAGACCATTTACCTATTAAAATGTCACATAAGAATATTTATTTACTGTTTTGTCTTCGTTAGAATGACGTTTGTGGTTGGCGGGGGCTATTATACTGTAGGGAATATAATTTTTGTGAAAATTTTCGAAATAAACCTGTAAATTTATGTTCAGAAATAAATATTTATTACACCTAACTAAAATATATTGTAATTTTTCTTCTATTGGACTCCTAGGTTTTACCGACATCGTCCTTTGATAACTAGCATAAGGTTATATTATAATTTATTTATTTTACTTTTAACTTATAAAAGAAATATTCAAGTCAAGTGAAAAAAGTGAAAATCTACATATAAAGAGAAAAAATTAAGCAACATTATTGATGAGATGCCCAATATCGCCTCAAACGCCATCTATCGTGAAAAAACAACGTTATCTAAACAAAAGTAAACAGAGCCGAGCTCTCGCCTCCCTAACTAAGAATCATCACAAATAAAATTATACAAAAATAAAACATTTTTAGCCAAAGATTGCAGGCAATGTCGATGGTAAAAATTATAGTAATAAAAAATGACCACTTACCACTTGCGATATTTTATATATTATTTATTAAAAATTACTGTTATATACCTTGAAGCAGATAAGCTTATGACAGTTCAGAGGCCGGCAAGCCAATCTACTTCTTATGTGTCAAACTTCGTTAATAGATTTTCAACTCAATTGCTATGATGTAAAGTCGAAGATCCAATAAAGAAAATGGTTATATTGCCATTGTTTTCTTTGAAATTTTACGAGGAACGAATCAAGTGTTTATGCCACAAAATATTGGTGGAAAACTTATTTTGACGGTTAAAAATAAACGGTATTCTAATAACGATAAGGTATAAATCAGCCAAAACCCAATTTTAGCATTGAAGCTTTAAAAGCCCTAGAACATTCGAATTAGAACCCTCCTTTTCTAGAGTTACTCTAAGATGATCTGTATAATAATAAAGATAAGGTACAATTTAGACTAACGGTTTAAAAAACATAAATATATAAAATATCGCAGACGGTCGTGAATTTGATCTACCTCGCGCAGTATTCAACTAGTTGTAGTTACACAAGTATATCTATTCTAGGTTACATTTTACATACATATACATACAGTTGTGTTTATATCACTAATCTTCAGCTTCAAGTGGAACTTATCACCATTTTTTGATATACATCTGTAACAAATAAAGAAAAGTTTATTATATACCATTTACTATTTATTTTTATTTATTTAGCAAAAGTACAATTTAAGTCATAACATTTTGTTCTTATAATTAAAGATCCTCGCCAAACATAACGTTTAACGGCGAGAAGCGCTCATTTGTTTTACTTACTAGCTAATTAAGTACTTTATATAACATTAAAAAACAAAACTAAAATCAAAACAAAAATAAAAAATACACATTATAAAGGATAATCATTAAAGAATGCATTGCCTATGCTCTCTTGAGCAATTCTCCCCTTAGCTTCTTCTTCAACATAAACAAACTCACTTTATTTTCCTCTCTCAATATATCTATTTTATTGAATATTTTTGGCACTATACGTTTATTAGTTCTCTTACCATAGTAGTTAATTATTCTAGGTTTATTTAACATATGCTCTCTAGCCCTTCTGGTGTTATATTTATTCTCTAAATTCAAAAATTCTCTAATCCTATTAAATACTCAACTTTCCTATCTATGGGCAGTATTTTACACTTTTATATATGCTATAGATGACAAATCAAATAAACTTAATTATGACGTCATTGTTTAAGTTATAGGACGGCCAGCGAGCCGATGGATGGATTACCTGATGGTAAGCAATCAGCGCCGCTCATGGACACCAGAGGAGGTACGAGTGTGCGTCGCCGACTTTATTAGGATTAGGGATTTGGAGATTTTGGAATTGGGGAGGGATTGGGCCTAAAGCAATCTCACTCACACGGCGAAACACAACGGTGGTTGTTTCACGCCTGTTTTCTGTGAGATATCACTCCAGTTGCAACATGCGTCGTGTTACGCCGTGTGAGTGAGTTACCGGAGGCCCAATCCTTCTACCCCCAAAGCCTCCCCAATCCCTAATCCCCAAATGGTGTGGCAACACATTCGTAACTCTTCCGTTATTGCGGGTGTACCTGGGCGACGCTGATTGCTTACCATCAGGTGATTCGTCAGCTCGTTTGCAGTTATATCACATAAAGGCATGGCCATCTTAGGTTACTTACCATCAGGCGAGATATTGGTCAAACACAAAGCAGTTACAAATAAAATAACCTATAAGCAATTAAGGGCTGATTTTTCAACGGTTAGTTAAAAGTTACCTGGGGGATAATAATTGTGATGATGTCGACAGTGGCAGCAACAATTTTATTCCTCAGATAACATTTATCTGACTATTGAAAAATGTGCCTTTAGTGTATGTGACATGATTAAAAGATTTCTTGGATACTTGACTTTAATAGCACAGTACACAGTCGAGCAGCTTACTGCACCAGAGTTACATTGTCAACGGCCGACACTCTCTCGGCCACCTTATTTATAGTGAAGGATGACAATGACGTTGACAGTTCTAGTGTGACAATAATTAGAGATGATTAGAGTGTGGGAGAGCCATGCTTCGGCACCAATGGGTCGGCTCGACCGGAGTGATACCTCGGCCTCGAAGAAAACCGGCGTGGAACAACCACAGCGGTGTGTTTCCCCAATCCCAAAATCTCCAAATCCCTAACCCCCAAAAGGTCGGCAACGCACTCTTACGTAACTCCACCGTCGATGTTGGTGTTCATGGCAACGTTGATTGCTTACCATCAGGTAATCCACTTGATCGTTTGCCGACATATCACATAAAAAAATATAAGATATAGTGATACCTTACCTAGCGGCGTGGAGTTTCACCACCAGGAGAAGAAAGGCGACTTGTGCTGGAAGCGTTGCTGGAACGAGTCGAAGAAACGGGATGACGTCGACCCGCTCTTGGATCTGCAAACATTAGTTCAATTCTTGGTTTAGGCACATTTTTTTTGCTTTATTAGATTAGATATTAGATTTCTGTGTCGCAGTAGATTAGGCGTGATTAGTTTTGGCGAGTTACACTGAGATATGCATAATCGAATCCAATCGCATAAGTTTTTATTTTTAAACAACGTTGCCTCCCTTTGTTATTTTCTTCTGTGTTCCTAATGAATAATGTATAAGATTACCTCTCGACGATGACGGCGGGCATCTGTACGAGTTGCACGGGGCTCTTGTTGTCCTTGAGCGCCTGCGTGAGGTTCAGTACCTGGCCGCGCATCACAGACATCTGCCGCTCGAACAGACCTTTGTCGAAACCTTTGTCTTGCTGCAAACATATACACTCATACTTAGATATAATATTTTTTTTTTTGAGGAACCATCGTCAATTTGACGATTTTGATAAATTTGAATAATGTATTTGGATTTGAATAGGTCAAGCACCCGATTAAACAAATGCCCGGTTTCCGAAAGCACGATCAATGTTAAAATCAACTAACTAGGTGTCAAATCTCTTATCAATTGGTTGTTGATAATTCAGTCAATCAATCAGATGACTTGACAAGATATTAAATTGTTTTTAACCTTGATCGGCCTTTCGTAAACCGGTTGTTAATCCCATTGCAATAAATAAAAAGAAAAAAAAACAAACCTAATAAACTTACTTTGAAAAGTACATGAAGTTCGTCACACAGCTCTTGTACGAAGTTCATATCGGATAACAATGGAAGTACTAGCTCCCTAGAAATAAAAAATAAAACATGTTATATATTTGTAAATCACAAAATATCACATACACATCACATCTAGACCCAGATCAACAATTAGCAGATCACACAAAGAGTTGTTACGAGTGGGAATCGAACTCGTAACACGTTGCACAGTAGTTTATTGCCGAGCCACTGCGACAGCCGTGCTATCATTCAATGAGCTTACCACGCCTTCCAAAAACGTACAAAAAAACACAAAATAGAAATCAAAAACGTCTACTACTATCGACTACTATATTTTTTATAATCTGTTACAAGATTTCAATGAAAGAAAAATAAATACCACACAACTAGGGAGTTATATAAACATTATAATACAATTGGGTAGTTTCTTATGTCAAAAATAAATTAATTCGACATTTCAATACAATAAAATATTGAAAAATAACTATACTTCTATTCATCGATCGATCGATAAGTTTTAGATAATTTTTAGCAAATGTTTTAGAAATAAGTAACTCAGTTGACGCAAAAATAGTATGACGTCATAACTCAGTGTTTCATACTAATTTCATAGAAAAGTATCATTTTTGACATTCGGATAAAAGTATTGAATTTGACTAGTTGGAAACTTTCGTATTATAAGTTTTGTTTTATTTAAAGAAAGTCTTTCGCTTTCCTACCGTATCGCCAATAATTAAAGTTTAAAATTAAAGTATAAATGTGACTGACTTGGTCTCATGGCTGAAGGGTTGCTTGGCCTGAGGCAGCCAGGCCCAGTGGTAGGGGTAGGCGCGCCACGAGTCGGGGTGCTTGAACGGGAACGCGAGACCGTTGTCTATTGCGGCTATACGGACTTCTGCGCCACGCCATTCCTGTTAACATGTAAAAATATTAGGAACATTAATTATTACTAAAATAAAGGGTCACTTATTCCCAATTTTTCCATCTACTTTTGTAATATTTTTTTTTTGATAAGAACCTTTCCCTGTCAATAAATACAACAAAAAGAATTGTTAAAATTGGTACCGACATTGTTGAGTTATGCGCTTACCAAAACAATTTGCGATTTGCAATCATTTTTATAGAGCAGATATTAAAATTACCTTTGGCGTTATCATTGGCCGGCTACATTTTTTTTGTGAAAAAAATGTAGCCGGCCGGAATTTTTTTTGTTAAAAAAATGTAGTAAAGTCCGGTCGCGGAGCAGGAAGAAATTCGTACAATGACCTCTTTACCTACTGACAGTGGTCACAAACATTTTTGTATAAAGTGCAGTTTATAATATTTGAAAGAGAAAAAAAATACTAGCTTATTAAATAAATTATTTCTTTATTGTTAATTTTAATAACAAAACAGAAAGAGAACTAACAAAAGAGAACTAACAAATAACAACAAACTAAGATAACTGAGATTACTGTGCGAAAACTGAGCGATCACTAACGCATCCCGAGATGGAATTTAAAAATTTATGAATTATGTGAAGTAAGCCATGTCATGACTCAAGGCCAACCAAAAACCACAACCACAAACAAACAAAAACAGACCTTACAGTAGTAGGTTAAAGGTTCACAATCCCTGAGTGCCGCGGTCATTGGATTTGTGCGAGCGAGACGCATCATATTTACGCGAGAGTGACAGAGACAGGTAATAACAGGCCATTGTACGAATTTCTTCCTGCTCCGCGTCCGGACTTTAGGTGGGATGAAATGATTTCATGTGTTCTCCAGAATTCTTCTCCTTTTTTTGTAAGGGGAAAATGATCAACCTCAAAATAAAGCAACTAGTTTATATATCGTATCCGAGCCAATCCTCTAATCAAGTCTATAAACAAAGTTTCAGCTGGGGTTGCGGGGTAAGCGCAATAAGGCACCGCGGCCTCGGCCTAGAGCAGGAGAAGGAACGGGGGAGTTTTTAGTAGATATAAGTCACACACACTATTACACTCTCACTCACTCATTGGTACACTCTATTCTGGGTGAGCGAAGTAATTTGATGATTTTACCGCCACTAAAAAGCCTAGAGTCAAAGTAATATAAACTTACAGAGGGATCTCTAAGGTCTATATCAGCGTGCGGGGGCTGTTGGCTGGGCGAGTCGTATTTGATGAGCCAGTTGTCGTTCCCGCGGTCAGTGTTACGAATGATGTAGTCTAGTACCACCAGCCGCTCGAACTGGAGTTGGAATCTGAAACGAGATACAAACTTATAACGCTTTGCTTATTCAACAGTCAATAAAGTAAGGTTAGGTCGTTAAAATATATTTAATGATTACTTAAACTGTTCCTTAGTAACGCTTGTATCTTGAAAACATGTGTTAAGGGCATTTATCATGCCTTAAAGAGTCAATAGACCACCATAGATGGCCAATAGGGTTGATGTACAGCCGGCGTTGCTGGAGCGCAATATTAAACAGCAGCCCCGGCTTCAAATAGTTAAGTCAGTAAGAGTCTGACACTCCCTCATTACCTAGAGAGCAGTCATTTGATGATTTCCCCCCAAAAAAAGGGCCTTTGGGGTATACGAATCAGCACAACATAATATACAAGGCCGACATTTGAAATAGTTATATATATAAGACACTAGTTTAGTACTCACTTCCTCATGACGTGTGGGGGCGGTGGATCCTGTTCGAACCGACGCAGCCAGTAGTCGGCGTCTTTGTAGCCCTCGACAAACAACTGGAACGATCCCGCCTGTAAACACATACATTGTAGAATTAAAATATTTGCCTGTTTTATTTTTATTTTATATATTTTTTTTTATTTGTCTGCAAGGTTGATGTATTGGCTGGGTAACCAGCTGCCGTACAACGTGTCGCGAATTCAATTCCCGCACGGAACAACTCTTTGTATGATTGTTGTGCCAGGTATGGGCGTGAAGTGTTTGTGAAATTGTTTACGAAACCACAGCACAGGAGAAAATGCTTAAGTACAACGGCAAAGTATAAAAAAATACCTCAAACGTCAAAATTTATCTAAAACCATTCTCCCATTAAATCTATCCCAAAATTATAGAACAAAAGCGTGATAATAATACACTTAACATTTACTTTCACAATTGACTGTTATTAGATACTAAGCAGGGACCGCTTCGCACGAGTCCAACTATCCCACTTACAACAAAAGAGTCCCTTTTCCCCAATTCTACCCTCCCCTTTTCTAAGCAATTAAAGCAATAATTCGTCTCCTGGCAATAACAAATACAACGAAAAATAATTGGCCAAATTGGTCAAGGCGTTCTTGAGTTATGTGCTTAGCAATACATTTTGCTATTCATTTTTATATGTATACTAGCTGTGCCCCGCGGTTTCACCCGCGTTTTTGTCGTTTCCGTGGAAATACCGAGATAAAATATTGCCTATATTATAGCCTCCCTCAATGAATGGACTATTGAATATTTAAACAGTTTTCGTAATTATCAGATCAGCATTTCCCGAGATTACCGCCTTCATAACAAACAACCAAACTTTTCATGTTTAGGTATAATATTAAGAAAAATATAGATTAAGTTAAATTGTATAAGTCAAGTAAGCAATAGCTCTGTACGAAATTCAGCCGTGTCCGTCCACTTTAAACCGGGTTAAAATATAATTTTAAAGTACTTCTGAGTAAATTATATTTTTCTTTTTATTTTCTGAATTGGATTAAAATGTAAAGGCAAATCATTTGGAATCATTAGGATCCGAGGTATAAATACTGTTTGACCAACCACTGGACCAGTCAGAACTATTATTGCAACTATCACGTTATTGCGAACAAATTTAACCTAAAGTCTCCCGTTACATAAATTTCTAAGTAAAATAACGGGGCACCAATTTTTAACTTGAGAGATTGTGATGGGATGCCCCTCGGGTTTAAAGAATGAAAACATCCCTGTAGATAATGGACTGCATATTCTTGATCCATTGGAAGTTTAGTTAAAATTAAATCGTTAATTTTGTCAACACTACTGTTTAGACTTTAATCTACTGTACACACTTTAGGATTCTCTCTTGTGTTGTGGGTGCGTTTACAAACATACAATGTCACATACACATGACACCCAGACCCGAAACAACAATTTGTAAATCACACAAACTGTTGTTCCGTGCGGGAATCGAACCCGCGACACGTTGCACGTCAGCCAGTTGCCCAGCCACTGCACCGACTGTGCACACTTCCATTGATAATCTTTATTTTCTATTTCGACGATATCTTTTGATATTAAACTCAATGCTAGTCTTTTTTTCTCCCAAATCTTGATCAATAGGTATGTTATTTTCAAAATAAGATACTTTTCCGTCTCCAACTAAAAGTAACTTCAAAGGAAAATTTGTACTACCTCCTCCCAAATAAGCTCTCATGTCCGTAGATAGTTTTAAGGTATGAACAAATTTCCATAATAGAGAACTTTTAAGGCAATTTTTTACAATGACTACTTTAGTTCCTCTTACTACTACTACTGGTAAAGTTTGCCGAAAATCCCCAGCAAACATGACAGTAATCCCAACCATGATTTTATCACAGTCTCTAATATCTATAATAGTCCTATCTAGAGCCTCTAGTACATTCATCCCAGATGATTAAAGTGACATCTTACAAAACTTTGCCTAAAAGGCCATTTTTACGAATAGAGCACACGCTCTTTCTGTAACGGAACGGTTAGGTTATGTTAGTTTAAAAGTGTAATGAGCTGTGCGTACGCCAGCTAATACAGTAGCAGCGATTCCAGATGACGCTACTGCCAAAGCTAGTTTTCCCTGAGACCTTACTTTTGCTAATATCATATTAGTAGCTAATGAAAGTTTTGCCGGTTCCGTCGCCTGGAGCATCCAAAAAAATATTTTTCCCTCATTGAAACAACACTGAGCATAACACTATTGTTTGCCATTACCTGGTCATTAAAGAACTTGGGTGCATTTATAGTAATATACTCATTTAATTCATTTACATCGTATGGCTTCCGCAACGACATTTCCAAATTAAGATGTATGTTTTTCCTTGGATTTCATTTTCCTTAGAAGAGTTAGTTAAGAAATGTATTTCTTATACTCTTCAAAGATCTTATACTTACAATCATCAACAAATATATTACGAAAAATATTACTACAGGCTTTTATGTTGATAAAAAAACTCTATGTTCCATAAGTCCTTAATAAGGTACCAACTCTTAACATCTTACACACATGATAACTTTTAAACGATTGAGAGATTGAGAGGAAATAAAAAAGTATTTTAAAATACTTATAAATAAATACTCTTGATAACATAATGCTTAATTCCGATAAAGAATAATATTACGATACATATTTAACGCTTTTTTTTCCTTCAGACGATTTAAGAATTATTTTGAACACAAAATCCGGTATTGTGATTAAACCATGATAGCTAGATATATGCTCTCCCGGACATTTTTGTAGGTTTTAATAGAATCTACAAACGGGTATTACATCATTTTGTTCTATTGTCAATAGTTTTTGCAGCGCACGCAAAAATAGGTTTTCGATTTTACTCCTTGTGTTACAAAATAGCAATTTTATTACAGATCCCTAATTTTGAATTAAATAAAATATACTTTCCTCGATAAATGGACTACATAACACTGAAAGAATCATTCAAATCGGGATTTTTTTTTATTGTTTTCGGAACCCGACTTATTAATCCTCAAACGACGAATTCTGTGCTCCAGCTCCAAAACACACGCGCACACTGTTTTGATAGATGATTGAATTTGAACTTTGTTTAGTGGTAAGAAAGTGCAAATTTACTTTTTGACGTTTGGAACACACCTTTTCTTCTTTCATTTATTTCTTAGATAACAGTGAGTGCTTGTTATTTAATATGAACCTTATGTATAACAGCAATAAAGCTCAAATTGATTCGACGTTTTAGTTAGAAAACGTTTGTATGTGAAAAATAAAAGGACTGTTTTTAGGGTTTTCCCGGCAATTATTCGATTTTTTCTCGCCGTAAGAACCATCCCTGGACTTCAACGAACATCTTAAAAAAAGAATTGGCCAAATTGGTCCAGGCGTTATTTAGTTATGCGCTTACAACACATTTTGCGATCCATTTTTATATATAAGATTAAGATGTAAGTAAAAAAAGGACTTCAATAGTTATAGCTTCAGCGTACCTTCGGTGGTAATCCCATTCTATTGAAGCGTAGATTGGGGAACTGTTCGGTGATGGCTCGCTTCAGTCGCGACCTCTCGCGGTCTATCCGTAGGTAGTTGAACGTTTCCGACACCAGCTTGACCACCTGAAAACATTAAATAAATACATTTGAAAATATTATTGAGTAACTCTCTCACTACATAGATTAAAACAAAGTCGCTCTCTCTGTCCCCATATTTCGATGCGATTTTTTTTATAGATATAATAATTTAAAGAGGAAGAATATATATTTGACATTTTTGATATTTGACGTCAAAACATTAAGTATGACGTCATGCGTTGCGAGTTCATACAAAATGCATAGAAAAGTATTGTTTTTGAATTTTGAATAAAAGTATTGAATTTGGTTAGTTGGGCACTACCGGATTCTTCCCATGATTAAGAAAGAAGAGAATAAATGATTATTTAAAAAAAATAGTTTTCATAATCAAATAAAAAATATTGATACAATTTCGGGGAAAAACAACCCAATTATTCCCTAAAAATTAAGCCATCCTTAGTAAAGAATTTTTAAAAATCGGTTAAGTGTGGTTGTGACTGTGGTTACCGGAGGCCCAATCCCTCCCATTCCCCTATCCTTGCCAATCCTTATATCCGCAGCCCTCTCGCACGCACTCGTAACGCCTTTAGTATTGCGGGTGTCCATGGGCGGCGCCGATTGCTTAACATCAGGTAATCTGTCTGCTCGTTTACCGACTCATACCATAAAAAAATTGCACTTTCGTGTTTAATCAATCACACAACAAAAAATATTATAAGAACTTGTTTATTCAAAGACCATCTTAATTCGAAATAACGTTACGTTACGTTTCGTTAGGCAGTTTGACCGACATATTAGTTAAACACAATCAAGGCCGATATCTTAATGAATACATAATCACGTGAGATTTTATTCGAAGTAAGTTCGAGGTCATTCGGTGCAAGTGTACCTACTGAATTTATTCACTATCATCTGTCTATAGTGCCTATATTTGTAATACAGTATTACAATTCTACGTTAGTTATTGCATCATGCCTTTAATGTTGCTTTTTAAGGGGGGATAATCATCGAATACCTTCTCCCGCCTTGGTGCGGCGAGAGCAAATGTTAGACTCGAATGACATTATAGGAAAAATGGTATAGATAGTTTACATAAACAACATTCGATTTTCAAAAATGGCACACTTAAAAACACATGAATAAATCGTATGATACCTACACGTTAAAGTGGGATAGTATGATTCAATTATCACGAGTGAAAAAGAGACAAATATGAAAAAGTGTGTCTAGTTAGCCACATTTTAATGTATCACTTGCTGAGCGCTTGTGTATCTACACCTTTTTACTTATAATATCACTGCTCTCACTGATTAAAAAACGTCGTCGTAGTGGCCCAGAGGTTAAGGCGCCCGCTTCTAATGCATGATGCGGGTTCAAAAGTACCAATGTGACTTTTTCTGGGTTATATGGGCTTTCTATGATCATTTAGACACCACTGACACACGGTGAAGGAAAACATCGTGAGGAAACCTGGACTTATAATTTCTAATAATAAGTTTGAAATCGCCAATCCGCCTTGAACATATATGGTGAGTAATGCTCAAACCTTCTCTTTGTGGGAAGAGGCCTTTGCTCAGCAATGGGCACTTATAGGATAGGATGTACTGACTAAAACCTACTCTGTTCTTTCACCTGCGCCAAGCAACCTATTTTTATAAGGGGGTAGTAGAGAAAGACGTATTTTATATGTATCAATGTAGTATAACTTTTGAGGAAAAAAATTACAGAATAGCGAGTTACATTCGAATTCGTGGCCTCCGACGAGCCCGACGCATTTCGACTATTAATAAGCATGCATACTTAAATCTACAAAGGTCTACATCAAACTATCCTGAGATTTATTGGTCAGGTGTCGCGCTTAACACTTAACAATCGAGATGCTAAGTGTGGGAGCGCCATGTTTCGCGCCACGGACGGGTCGGTTCGGCCGGAGTGATACCACGACTTCAGAAAAAAAAACAACGTGAGACACTCTCCCACACAGGGTTGTTTTGTTGTGTGGGTGCCGGACGTCTTATCCTTCCCCACACCCTATCCCTCAATCTCCAAAAGGCCTGCAACGCACTTGTAACTCCTGTGGAGTTGCGAGTGTCCAAGGGCGGCACCGATTGCTTACCATAGGGTATCATTACCATCTAGCTCATTTGCCGCGGCGTATCACATAAATACACTAATATTTCAAAGTAAAGAAACTGGAAAACCACTAATTTATTATTGCTATTATTGATATAACCCAAATACAGCGCGAATTAAATTATTTTATCTACGGGTAGATGACCTACAATGGCACGGTGTCATTACTCGGCTCTTTAGCGCAAACATATTTTGTTTACCTACATAATATAATATATTTAAATGAAGTGTAATCAATAATGATATTTATTTTAAAATTTAAATAGAATTTGAGTATTGAATCTATCATTCAGCCGAGAATGCGGGTTGATGTACCGCGGATTGGCTTGAAGTAGAAGAAGTTAGGTACAAGGTTGTTTTAGTCAGTAAGAGTCAGACAATTCCTCTACTTCATCCAGGGCGAGGGTCAAACTCACTTCATATCAGAGACGTATGGGAACTATATTCTTCAAAAAAGAAAAAACACGGTCAACGTATTCAAGGTAGACTGTGAAACAATGTGTGATTCGAATTAATGACGAAAATCGCAAGATTTTTGTTAAAATCAACTGAGTAAATGACAATTAGGTAGTTTCTTAGGTCAAAAATAAACCATTAAATTTTAAGTTTTCAATACAATTATACTTTCTTAATTGATTTCACTATATACTTAACTTCAGACTTTTTCTAGCTACTTTTTTTAAAATTAAGTAAGTATGCTGTTTGAAAAAAAATATTATGACGTTATATGTTGCGATCCGACAAAATTAATAGAAAACTATAGTTTCCGATATTTCAATCAAAGTATTGAATTTGACTAGTTGAAAGCTACCAAATTCCGTATTGCCTTACAAGTCTCGGGTCCGCGGGTTTAGTATCATCCGAATTTAATCGTATGGCGACAGGACGAATGATGAAATCGTACAGCTGACTAATTAAAAAAATACCTTATAAAAACAAATAAAAATATGCACATTTATAAACACCGTCAGCCACACACACACAGCTACATAAATGATAACAATAACCAATATTATTCACTCTACACATCGCATGTTAAACAGAAAAGAGACCTAACTCAAAAATAAAGTATTTCAATCTTAAAAATTATGCTTCAAAAATAAGGTTCAATTTTGGAATATCCTCATTTTAGAGTTAGTCCGTTTTTCTATTTAACATGCGACATATTATACAAGTAAATACCATACTATATACCTAATACCTAGGTATATATATAGAAAATGTACCTTGAAACATGTCTATTGATAAAGTGTGACGTCGCATATACGTACGTATAATGCGAATATTTGCAGTATTAATACATATACATTAGAATAAACAATTATAAGAATTAATAAAAGATGGATAATCAAAGATTATGACACAATTTTTTTTATTACGTGTTTCGTTATTTTTACTGTTCCTGAGTTATTTGCATTGACGTATAAAGAAAACAGACAGAAAATAATTTAACATATGTGTACTCAAAATTTTTTGACTTCAAGGCTATTTTAAGCATAGGTATGTTCCGGTCTGTAATAATGTATTATGTATTTTCTTAATGTAATCTAAACTAATATTATATTATAGCTCTTAACTGTATTTGATAGTTTACTTGAACTGTGTTATCTCTCGAACTGGTTCGAATTAAAAATATATATATATATATATATTAGTATATAAATGTAAATTGTTTTAACGACGTATGTTTGTAAGTCCATACTATCTATACTTACTATACTATACTAATATTATACATGCGAAAGTAACTCTGTCTGTCTGTCTGTCTTTTCTTCACGCCTAAACTACTGAACCGATTTCTGTGAAATTTTGTACAGACACGGTTTGGAACTCGAGAAAGGACATAAGATAGTTTTTATATCAAAAATCTGCAAGAAGTCACTATTCCACGCGAACGGAGTCGCGGGCAAAAGCTAGTTTGTATATAAATATCAATTGTCTAAACGATGTATGTTTGTAAGTATTTTATGCAAGATCTAGTGCTCAGACCCGAATGAAATTCAGTACAGTAAAGCCGTTAAACAGATCCTAGAACATCGATGTCTTAAACTAATTCAATAAAAAAAACTCACCCTCGTTTTTGGCACAATCTTGAGTCCAATCTTGGAGTCAACAAGACTAGCGCCCGCCTCGCTGAGGTACCCCTGGTTGGGTATCAGGCACGAGCGTCCAAAACAACAAGGACAGCACAGCTTGTGCATCCATTTCGTCCATTTTGGATTCAGACGACCGTACGGCTCCTCGTCCTTCGGTTTGAATACTCCTACGATTTTCTGTAAAGGAAAGAATTTGGTTAGATTACTATAAGGCATGTTTTATTTTTGCATTAAATCTGCTTAAGTGTATTTGTAAGCGCATAACTCGAAAACGGCTGTGCCATTCCGGCTTGTTCTTTATGTGAAAATATTCGTTGAGAACAGAAAAACATTTTTTGTGGAGAAAAAAATGCACAACTAATGCTGTCAGATTACTTGGTAAAATATAACCTATTTTGTAGCTTTTTTTTTGGTACAATCCCTTTTTCCTAGACTTTTACCACAACCGGGAACCGAGTATGTGCTACGTATAGAGGGCAGTTAGCTTCATATCGGATACAAGGTTTAAATATGACCAAAATAATATCTCAAAAACATAGTAATTTTAGACTAAACTTATTTTCTATCGTTTATGGGGGCAAACCATCAAGATATAATCATACTGACATGGGAAACAAAAAGCAAGCGTGGTCGTGATCGTGGTATCACTCCGGCAGTGGTATCAATGGTATAACGTCAACGAAGTTGTCGCTATAATACGATGTAGCGTAATACTTTATCTAATAAATCAATGTTTATCAAGTTGAGCGAATGTTTGCATGATAAACTATCATGGGTGCAACAGGTGTATACATATGTATAGTAATGTATATAAAAACATATACAGCGTCTCGTCACGGCTTCCATTTTGTAAAAGTGTAAACACGGGTGCAAAAGGGGTGATGATATTTCATTTTAAATCCGTTTTTAACATTAACTTAATTTTTTAATTTTTAAAAATCTTTGCCCCCGACACTAGGATTTTCTCCCGAGTCGTGGGTTTACACAGGGGGCGTTTACAAACATATAATTTTACATACACATCACACACGAACGCGAAACAGCAATTTGTGGACCCAACAGGGTTGTTGTGTGTGGGACACGTTGCGCGGCAGCCAGTTGCCCACCCAATTTTTCTTTTCGTACGGAATTAAATACTTTTGTTGACGGTTAACTAATTTAAAATATCGTCACGATAAAGTACATTTTATTATTATGCGGTGAAATTTTAACTAAATAACCAATATTAACTCTTATTTTGCTAAATAAAGAAATCCGCGGAAGAGATGCACATCGGAATACATATCGGCAAATAATTCTTTTATATTTTATATTTGAGTTATCATTGTATCTGTCACACCAAAAGCAGGAGCTAGGCTTGAAGCACCCACTTCCCCAAAAAAAGACAGAAATATTATATACGCTCAGTAAACAGCCTGCTAAGGTAGTTGGCATTAGTAAGCTTTTAATAACTGAGCGAGTCACTGTACTATGTCAAGAAAATTTATTTCTTTAAACCCCGAGTGAATAGGTATTCCATCGTAGGTCGCATCATTGTTTACCACCACGTGATATCGGCCAAATGCCTAGCCATTATGAAATAATAAAAATAGTATAGAATTATTTTTCCGAATATATAAATAAAGCCGTTGACTGCGCGACGAAACACATTGTGTCATGCAATGCAATGCAAGCTAATAAAATATGAACCCCTACCGTAGCTCGAAAGTAATCGAGTTATCACGTCAAACAGTTACGGGAATAAGCCATTGAACATAATAAATTATGATACTGTTACATCAGAATGCTTGTATAAGACAGTGACAGCAACAATGAATTAATCATTAGATAACATTTATCTGACTATTGAAAAATCAACCCTAAGATTAACTTTTAAATAAATGTTAACTACTTGGATATGACTGGTAAAGCGCCAATTATATGATGAAATCTATCACACGAGGCTCCCAACTGAACAGGCTTTCTGGCTTATTAAAACCCATAATTCTAACTAACTTATTTAGTATTCTAAAACTTGTAAGCAAAACTGGTTGGAGTATAATCCCTCACTGCACCAAACCGCACGGTGGATGGAGATATCATGTTCAAACTAGTTGGAATAGTTGGAGAGTTGCAATTTTGTGGCAAACTTATAAATCGTCCCACAGACCACAGTCGTGTCGATTTATACTGGTCGTTCGTTCACTGATTATAATCTTTACAGACGACTACAAAGGCCAAGAATAAAGTCCAAAGATTATTTATTGATTTTTTTCTAAGTAATTTATATATTTCTTATAGTTGATAACGATTTTAAATCCTAGCGTGTTTTGGATGCGTGCAGTCTTTCAGTCTAAGATGGCAAGCGAACTTGAAATCTGTCTAATGGAAAACAGTTACTGGAGGCTTTTTTTTAGTCTAGATTTAAACCATTGCGGCGATGCATTTAGGCGAGAATAAGATTCTAAAATCAAACCTTGACTCTATGGGTCAAACCTAGTCTTAAGATAAATCTTGTTAATAAGGGGGCTAACGTATACAAAGTTCAACACCGACAATCACTATTCTAATACATACATCATCTTGACAATTTAACCAATTTATTAAGAAAACCTTTTCGGCCTTTCATATATAAAAGGCACGTGACACAGAAACCCCAGAAATTATGGAGTTATAACTTGGAGCACGCGCTAGACTCGCGTGTTAAGCCACGCGCAAATACCAAAGACGTAGATTTTAATACAAATAATAATAATAAGGTTTTCTGGAACGAATTATTGATTATTAGAGTTTTACTTATGATATCTGACATTCGATAGGTTGAGTGTCGAGAAGCCCTTTCCAGTCAAGAAGTGCCCTTTCCTTAAGTATAACACAACAACTGGCCAAGTTTTTGGCAGGTAAGCTTGAGTTTTTACCCGTTTATTAACTCTAATGTAGAAAATCCTCTAATTCGATTGCGTTAGAAAGAAGTGGACTGTCAGAATCATATTGATTTAATTCATCAAACCCCAAGCAAATTGGTTCTCGCATCTATTTTTCTTGTATAGTGCCTCGAATTACCACGAAGGTTAAAAACATCCTGATGTCCTGTCTCTCATGGGTTCTCTGTCAAGGGCTCGAGAAGTCGAGATTCCAGGATTAATCTGTACCATTTAAAAATTCTAACTCCGCTGTTGAAACATTGAAAATTGGGTAACCAATGCCGAATTCTAGCTCAGGAACGAAAGCCGGATATCACATTTAAGATCGTCGGTTGGTTAAATCAAGTAATTTTTGCTAAATATGACGAAACATTACGAAACGACTACGTCACATTTTCTTCTCCAAATATGCAATAACTATAATCAAATTAATGTAACTAGTATAACTTACCCCTCCTGGATTTTTGACGAAATACGACCCACTGGAGCCCTGGTATATCCTTTCCGGGAATATTCCATTGTCGATGGCCACCTCCGCTTGCCATACCAACTCGCTGAACTGCGGGTCATCTGCACAGAATAAAAAAAAAATAGTAAATAAAAATACTGTTACACAAACAACAACAACAACAACAACTCCTGCTGAGCAAAGAGCTCTTCTCACACGAAGAAGGTTTGAGCAGTAATAACCACGCTTGCTCAAAGCGGATTGGCGACTATTTAGTGACGTAATATTTTTTAGAACAAAGCGGCGTATGTTTGTCCTTGAATAAAACCTCTAAAGAATGTAGTCTATCCCTTAAATATACATATATAACTGTAGGTTTACAATCGTGGACCTTCTGCCTAATCCACCTTAGTGGGCACTTTTTAGCCCATGCTCGACCATTATAATGTAAAATAACACAATTTCAATTAGAACAATTAAAAAAAAATTTTGTCCCACACTAGGATTTTCTCCTGTGTCGTGAGTGCGTTTACAAACATACAATTTCACATACACGTCACACCCAGATCGAGCCAGAAATGAGATCAACAGATTATACTAACATGCATAATGACGATTGCTTACTGTCTTCCTTAAATGCTAAACTGATTTTGATAAATAATATTACAAAAAAATATATTTACAATAACAATAAGACTATGACTATGATATAGGAAATGGATAAAGCTGATGACGTTGAAATATTTATCGTTTCAATTTAATACTATGAAACACATAGTATGTAGAATGATACAATTCCGAGTAAAATACCAATGCAAACAGTGACTCAGTTCATTTTTTATTTATTCAATGTACCTACGTGTATTATTTGGTGATAACAGAATTCAGGTTTCGGATATTTTTAAAACATAGTATTTTTAGATCAAATTAAATGAAAAAAACTATTTTTTTTTATAACAATTTACCCTTTTACATGAGTTCTCAAATCCACATCTTACCATTTGAAAAATGACGAATAAACTAATATGTACATGGAAGATTATCCAACATGTAAAAAAGAGGCGCATTCAAACAAAAAAAGTTAACTTGGTAAATATTAATAGAAGATATAATATTAATAGTAGTCAGCAGTTTTAGCATAACTTCCAATTGACATAAGAATTACTAGGCGACTACCTTATCAGCACAACAGATAAAGAACAACCTTGTCTTTAATTAATTCGTTCTCAATGTACTGAATTTGAATAAGAATGTTTCAAACTGTTATTTGGAAGACACAAGCATAGCTGCTGCTTAGGAATACTTCTCGGGTAGGATAAATTTTCATAAGCTATTTTTCGTAATTATTCTCAAATAAAACATCGTGAATTTAAAATGGGACCCAGTACTAGGAAGAAATGCCCTTTTCACAATATGATATTGAAGGTGCATGAAAGCCATACTTCGGCATGAATAGGCCAGCTCGACCGCAGTAATACCACGGCCTCACAGACAACCGGCATGAAACAAAAGTTACGGAGTAATTCGGCTTGTGAGTGAGGTGAACGGAGGCCCAAATCCTCGAATCCCTAGTTCCAAAAAGGCCAGCATCCCAATTATAACACATCTAGTGTAGCAGGTGTCCATCGGCGCTGATTGCTCATCATTAATGACCAAAGACGGATCATGTGATTATGAGTCATCATTGTCTTTTGCCACCCTATCCCATAAAAAAGTTGAATTACATCGGAGGGCGGCCCGAGTAGTGATTTTTGAGGATGTTAAATCATCCAATCAGTTCTCTCGCCTTGGGTGAGGCAGAGATGGAGTGTCAAACTTCACAAAGGCTAATGACCACCCTGTTCCTTCTTCTGCTTTAGACCGATGTCGCGATACATTCTAGCGCTTGACCCACAGCCCTAATAGACCAAGATTTATTGTGATTTGTTTAAAAAAGCTAAAGTACTATGCTACTTATATGTATATTGTAATGAAAAGATGTCCATTTGTAAGATTACTGCGTATCTCAGACTGATAAGGGTAATCAGTCGTGACACTGGTGACTCAATGATATTTTTGATATAAATAAATAAGTCGAATATTCAGATGTCTAGTTCAGAACTATTTATCTATTACAATTGATAATTATACAAAGTAGTTGATTATAATTTTAACTTTAATAATTGAGAAGCGGTGTGCTTCACCAGCATAGCAAACTGAAGGAATATTAACTTTTAAAAGAGATTTTGTATTAATAAGATGTTTAAATAGACTAAAGACTAATAAAATAAAGATTAAAAAAAAACATTGCCATTTTGTCAAGTACTAATCATAAATCGTCAATTGTCGCTCTATTGTATCTGTCAATCTTAGTACAGTGATCTATTTACGTTGTTTATACTCAGTACTTATCAATATTTTTAAGGTGACTTTCCCTAATATCTAGTAATCTTTTAAAACATATTTCAATGTCCTCATATTACTTTAGCACTACTTTTATGAACTAGCTACCCCCGTGTGGTTTCACTACCGACTCCTTTAGGACGTAGCGTGAAGTTTTAGCTGTAGGCTTCCCAGATAAATGGACAAAAGTATTTGTTCAATTCGAACTATCCGAAGATTGTCGCATTCAAGTAAACAAACTCTTCAGCTTTTTTATAAAATCAGTATGGAAGTATAGATTAGAGTTAAGCCTTCTACTTTCTAGTAGGTTACTTTCAACGAAATTGACCTTTAGAGACAGCGTGAGTGATCGAATAATGGAAGGGAATTTGCTAGTTTTATTAAAAAGGTCACCTATACCCAAATAAAGGAAAATCCAACGTGAGTGAGGGTACCGTAGGATGCCGTGTGTAGTGATGAAGGGATAGGGGAGGGGATGCCCAATCCATCCCCTCCCCTATCCCTTCTCAATCCTTAAATATCCGAAACCCTTATCTCCAAAAGGTAGGAAACGCACTCGTAACTCCTTTGGTGTTATGGTTGTCCATCTTCGGTGTCGATTGCTTACCATCAGGTTATTCGTATGCTCTTTAGCCGACTTATCTCATAAAAAAATAACAATATAAACATGTACTAACATAAGATGAAAGTCAATAAAAAATGTAATATGCTTCATAATGTTGCTTGAAAATCGTTACATAACGTTGGGTTACGACCTTAAACTAACACTAAAACCTAGTTTTCAAACACAATGGTAGAGAAACCATGACAAAGGTACTGAAACGAAGGAAATATTTAATTAAACTGAATAAGTGGAAAACTTTATCGGCACTTAGGTAAGGAAATTCTCGTGATCGACCGGGGATTAGGGAGCCCGTTTCTTACGCATGGGTTCGACATCTGCCAAGTAGGAACGTCAATATTTCAGACTATATTATGTTCATTTAAAATCATTTAGATATCACTGACAAATAGTGAAATACAGCATTGCAAGGAAACCTAGGGCTTAAAATTCCTAATTATCAGTTTAAAATCGCCAATCCGCCTTTAGCAAGTATGCTGATCCATTCTAGATACATATACTATACTAGATATGTACATAAATGTATAAGTCACAATAACCAACGTTAGTACCCACGTTATTATATTAACCATTTCAAAATTGACAACATAAATGAAAATAAACATGAATTAAGTGAATGTGGCAAATACAAGATCAACAATAAAAGTCAACTGATTGCGTCACACGTCATAAATCACGCAAGTAAAGTTTACGCGGAGAAAATCCTATATATGTATAGATAATGCTAACTTTCTACAGTAACTGTTGGGCAGTGGCCCGCCAGGTATTATCACCTCGCCTGGTCGGAGGATCCTTTCCTTTCTTTTCTTTTCTCAAGGAACTTTATTGTTCGTGCCCTAAATACATGACATGTCATCATGTCCCTTTTATCTAAAAGGATAAATAATAAACCCATTTTTCGCCAGTTATTAACCTATCACTGTATAAGTCTATTGTCATAATAAGCCGGACAAGGGTAGACAAAAAAGGGGCAAACAAAAGCAAGGGTTCCAATGGAAAATGGAATACACAGCGCCTCGTGTAGAGATTCCAAAAATAGAAAAAGCGTATATGAACTTTGGCATTTAAACACTTATAATATTGTATCGGTTAACCTAGATAATATAAGAAAAGGTATGTATGATAAAGACACGTTTAGACTAGCCCTGTATAATGTGGAACTAATAAACACCCTCGCAATACACCTACGCTTCACATTCACGAGACACGTGACACAAAGCTTCAGTACTAGATAAAGGTTACATTTCTGTATAGAAAATATCATAAAATCGATTCCAGTTCTTAAGCGAAATTGAGCACAGGCTGAAAATTAATTACAAAGTATATTCTATTCTACCCATGGGTTTATTAAAACCCCGACGAACTTTATACTAATTTTGTGAATACGGTAGTTTCCAACTAGTCAAATTCAATACTTTTTTTTATCCATGTCAAAAACGACACTTTTCTATGAGATTTGTATTTGTATAGTATTTGTAAGTCAAATAGCATACTTATTTCTTAAAAATTTGCTAAAAAATATCTAAAACTTAGTGTATCGATCGATCGATGAATGAAAATATACTTATTTTTAAATATTTTATTGTATTGAAACGTCGAATTAATTTATGTTTGACCTAGGAAACTACCCAATTATAATCGTTTTAAGATACTGGGACACTGAGACCAGGGAAGAGAACTGTCTGAAAAGCCTGAACATTTTTACTGCGATCACCAAGTTGCCTGCCAAGCGAAGTGACTATGACTTTCCCTCTTATGAAGAGTAGAGGTCTATAATCCAATATCAATATTTAATGTATCACGACCCCGGCTAGAACCAGAAGAAGAAGCTACAAGATGTCTGTCTTCCTTTAAAAGCAGGAGCAGTGGAATTTAGTTCTTATTAATATTGATATTGCATTTTTTCTTCATGTGGAAGCAAAAAGGACACAAGTCTATTTGATATAATAATATATTGTTAAAACTATATTGTTTGAAAGGTCAAAAGTATAGAAGTATTATTAATTTTGTACGTCTCATTGTAACATTGTGCTAAATAATAAAATGATATAGCAGTCGTATCGTCACGACTGCTATATATTCTGTCAGTTGCGTATGTTGTGCAATTATATCTACATA